ATAACTAGCGTGCGTTTACAAACTTTGATTAAAAAAAAAAAAGAAAAAAAAAAGAAGTTAAAAAATCAAATTTAATTTGATCGAAAGAAATAAAAATTCGGCGCGAGTGGTCCTGGGAAGATTTGGAGTAACCTAAAAAGGTTCTGAGTTGTATGGAAATTTATCCGAAATAATTGTATTACGTTTCGCAAGATGTTAGGATTTGGTATGATTAAAAATCGAAACGCCCTTTGTGTTTTACGTTTCCTTCTTTTAAATCTAGTGAAGGTGGAATTTGAACCCCATGCATCGTTTGCGGTATTTCCGGGGTTCGATGAAGATAACGGAAAATGCGAAGCCGCACATTGGCGAAGCGGAGCGCCAAAGAGTCCGAAAACATCATTTCAGTTTAAGCTATTTCTATCTTATGCTCCTTTTCATGAAGTTTCTGGAAAATGACGGACCGACGTCTTGCCAACACCACAAATGTCCTGTATCAAAACCATTCGAAAAGTTGGGCTGACATTTATCGTAGAAATCGAGCTCGATGCTGTCCGACCGGATGTCATAAGCAAAGCGCAACAACTTTAGAAGCTTTGATCGTTAAATGAAGTCTCCTTTTCAGCTCTAAAGGAAATATTTAGATGATGATGATGTTTGGGTGTAAAGAACTGAAAAGAAAACCGATAGGAACACGGGAAAATAATCTCACACTGCTAGCGATTGATCTTTTGTGATTGACGCTGAGCAAGTTAAGTTACATTTTATCAGAGATCACGTCTGATACCCGATTAATTCGACGGAATGTCGTTCGATCGCTTTACTGTTTATAGGATTCCTTTCCCTCAGGAGAGGAAAAAACAAACATCTCTATATTATAATTATTTTTTAATTTGCACTCAATATTCTTTGTAGTGATACATAGTGTGTGATGGTTTCCTCAACATCAGAACGTAGGAAGTAGGAAGGAAGCGTAGGAAGTTTTTCCCGGTAGGAACCCGCGAAGGTATGCAGTAACGTTGACGAAAACGTGTTGGGGCAAAGACCCCCTCGTGTGTCAGTGCGGAAAAAGCTAGCCATTATTTACCGCCCAGGGTGGTCGGAGTGTTTTGAGGATCACAGGGTTTCTATGGGAACAGAAAGGGATCGGTCGTCACTAACAGAGTATAAAGGGGGAGCTGCAGAAACTGAGTGTTTCTTTTGATTCATTCACTGCCAATGAAGGAGAATCATTAGATTTTTTACACAGCCTAAATGGGGATCATGTAAATTTCATTGTGACACGACCTCCGTACACCCCATTCCCCATCCCCTTCAGGGGATAAATAATGGCTCGTTTCCTTAGCGCAGCATTAGCTTCGCCTCAGAGAATATCAGTTGATATTCCCTGGCTTGATCTATAATCTTTGCTAAATCAGGACGTTACTTAACAAATTAGTTCGTCGTAAAACTTTTCTTGAACAACTGCCCACTGATGTAGTGTCACAAATCTAAGCTGCAGATACACTCTCAGGATGGAAGTTTCCTTGTGCTAATGAACGACTCAAACAACGCTTGAAAATTTGAGTGGGCGTTTGTGTTTGGCTCAATTTAGTGTAGACAAGCTTCAAAAAAATTTCCGCCTCTGCGCATACTGTTAATTCTTTCTGTAGTTTCTCTAATTAACTTCCTGTCTTATAACAAGATCCGTGGGAATTTAACAACAGTGGATTAACTCTGATCCATATCTCCTTTGTCGATTCAACCGTCCAGCAATTGTTTCCGGGCTGATTTATTCACTCATTGCAAAACATCTGGAAGAGCAAATTGCAAATCCTTTTCCTGTTTTATCTTGGTCTCATACGGTTTAAACCAGTTTAAAGGTGAATTGTTTTGGTGAAATTTCTAGCTTATAAGATCGGTTTGACGTTGTTCTCTGTGTAAGTGTACGCTACGCTCGAATTCCTGCATATCAATCAATCTCTCGCGGCAAAGGAATTTGCTTCTTACCAGCTGCACCCATAAGGAAGTAATAATATTATCAAAGCCATAGAGATACGAGAAACTTCTAAAAAATAGCACGAGGGATAGTTTCATTCATACTGTCTGTGAGAGTCGATATCAGACGATCAAAACTAACTGGTTTGAGTTCTCCACGGCATCGCACAGGGCATCTGTAGTCTCTGTGGGATGAAATGTTGAATAGTTGTGGTTACGGTTTTGACAATTTAGCAATGAAGCGAATTACGCTAATTTATAGCCTTGAGTGAATTTTGAAGCAGTCTAATAAATACCGGAAAGGTACGTGGGCGAGAGAGGTCTAGAAAACAATATCGTTTGATAAGGGATAAAAATATCCCAAAAGCATGACGTTAAAACTCAATTATTATTATTATTATTAAAAGAGAGCGAAACAATGAACACTGCCGACACGTTCGGCGAAATGTATTTTAAAACGCGGGGCTCTTGGTTTCTGAACGACGCAGACTTTGCTAACCATTAAACCCTCAGGAGTAATTAAAATGTTACTCTCCGTATAATATCATACATTATCCAGCAAGCAGGTAATGAGAATATTCAAACTTATTTGTTTTAAGTTCTTATTTTGATCCAACATTAAATTCTCCCGGCTACTTTACAAGGAAATGTGTAGCAGCTAGAGGAGAGAATTAACAATCGGATCCGGGGAGTTAAAGGGTTAAGCAATTATGTGTGACCGCACAACTATCCGAATTCATATTACGCCAAAGTAAAAAGAAACAAGTCAATTTTTTATTTGTTTGAGTTTTTTCCAAATCTCTCGTGACGTTGAACTTTTTTCACAAACATTGGTTGTTATTTATAGAAGACCTACGTAATATTAATTAAGGGTTTTCCCCCGTAACGTCAACAGAGGAATATTAATTGGGTTGACACATAGCTACTGAACTTTGCTGACAGGCTGAATGCTGACCGCTTTCTCCCGAGAAATTAAGATATTGTAGGAAACTATCAAAGGTATAGTTTATTTTACATTCGTAATTATTTTTCCGCCGTTTAGTTCATGAGAGAACAAGCTCGTAATAGCATGACGCAATCATGCTTGCGGTAGTCATTGCACATTCCTTTGTCAACTGACGTCGAGTTAGAGACTGTGGTAGTTATCCCACAAAGCAACTTGTTTTATGAGATTTTTAACGGAAATAGGTATTTAGAATTGTAAAAACTTCAATACAGAACCAAACAGGAAGAACAAAAGGAAAGTATCAAATCGGTTTTACGGAACTTTCCTGAATTTTCTTTGCTTTGAAATACGCATACTTAGCAAAATTTACAATTTGCGCTTTTATGATAATTTTTTTCTCCTCCATTCAGTAGGAGAATAAGTTATTTCTCTCGAAGTCAGCTGAGAAATATGTCCGTCTCGTCCTCGCAGAACAACTGAAAAGTTGGTTATGGCAACAAATTAAAGGAATGTAAGGTTTCGCATATAGCGGCTCGCATAGAGACAAACACGCCGTAGTTCGAAGTTTATCCGCACTGATAATATAATATTATTGATAAAAAGTTTGAGGATAATCTCATCATTTTAAAACGTAGCTTTGTCATCAGCTTTGATGCGTTTTGTTAAATAAAAAGCGCTAGAATTTACCAGAAATCTCTACATTAAGCATCGTAATGATTACTTCACTGCTTGTTTTATCCAGGTCAAAGGCGAAGCCAACGTCATGTCTATTCTTCGTAACACATATTTCATCATGCTTATTCATGCTCTCTGCACGGTAAGTGGTTAAACAAACCTCAACTTCAGACATCCACCTCCTAGAGATAATTTATTGTTTATAGTTTAATAGAAGTGTTCTTAAAAACGGTATCATTACCTAGACAAAACAGCTGATAGAACATAAAGCCATGATGATGATGCATAGACAAAAGAATTTCTGTAATTAATGAAATTAATCATTCGGTTTGAAGGAAATTTGAATACAAATAACAACATCAAAAATATTTTTAGAGTAACAGGAAGCTTAAAGTTCTTAAACAGCGTAGAACTCCGACAAATTGTAAATAATTAAGAATGCATGTACAGTATCCCGACAACGAAATTTCTTTCAACCGGAAAAACTGCTTCCTTTGCAAATAAACTCGGAATAAATGCCGACATTCCAGAAAACCCACTAATTTGCCGATTTAGAGCCGACTCTAGGTAAAGACTATCCACTTTGATTGCACCGAAAAAAATCAGCTGATGAATATGGTAGCAATAGAAAAACTTTTGTGGGAGTTTGGGAAGAACTTTCCCTGTTTCTAACTTACTTTTTTCCCCCTCTAACCTCGAACGGTTAAATTTTTCAATTTTTACGAATAAAGACTCTTTTTTAAGCCGTTTTACGAATAATTTTCATCTCACTGAGGTGCTCTGGGGATTTTCCCTTTCAGTTTCGAAACGAACAAAGGTTTTTTATAAGTCATATCGAAATTGAAAGTAGCCGAGCTATTTCAGGAATGAGGAGTATACAAAACCGTCACATGAACTATTTGCAGCTGTTTTTCCAGTATCGGCAAGAAAAATTGTTTAATTTCTCCCAAGCTATCTTCATCCTGAGTAACTTAACTAGCAATTGTTGGGGGGTGGTTTATCAATAATCAAAACACATTTCAGGCGAAATTCGACTTCCGTGAGGTGATACAGCCCCACGAAGGCATTTCTTGCTTCCTAGTATCATTGCACTATCTGCTGTCCAGATCTTTAAGTTAATTAACCCCGTGCACACAAGCTAAGTATCACCTCCATCGCGGTACTGGGGAGGAGAGGGACGGGACGGATGGAACTCTAAAGATTGCAATATCTTGAAAATTTTATACCTCTTAATGTATAGTCTGTTACGTCATCTACAGAACACTTAGTTCGACAACGTACTCGCTAATTGAAGCAAACCCTACATTGTTAGTTTTCAGTACAAGTAGCGTCTAACAGAAGCTGTAGGTGGAATCAGCTGACTATCTCGAGCACTAAAGGAGTTGAATGTTTTCCCTGTCCCAAATGTCCCGAGGGTCAGGGCATGGTCCCGCAGTGTGGATCACGTGTCACCACTAATGTCACAGTGGAGTGTGTAGAATGTACACCTGGGAAATCGTACTCGGATAAGCATGATATCTCCTCGTGTAAGCCGTGCACTATCTGTGACCCTAACGAAGAAACGATCAGACCTTGTACTGCTACGGAGAATGCTGTTTGTGGAGAATGTAATGCTGGGTATGTAAACGAATGAGTGTTTGGGTAAACTGAGAATCTTTAAGAGATAGTGTGTCAGGTTTTTCCTTTTTCACCAAAAAACAATAACTGCATGTATCGTATCTTTCAAAAGCAAACATCGCCTTATGAAGAGAGCGTAATATGCTTTCAGTTGAATAATTGCAACGCTGTTCTTTATGCAATTTAGTCCTAACTTTCATATGTCAGAGAGTATTTTTTTATCTTGATTTAACACCAAATTCTCGCAACTAGTTTGAAAGGAAATATGTTGCAGCTAGAGGGGAGAATAAACAATCAGATCTTGAGAGGCAAAAAGTTAATTTCAAAAAGCCTAAGCTGAGATTTTTTTCAAACCCTACCTCATCTTCATCAATTGAAGTTATCAAAGCTGCAATTTTTTACCGTGCACGCGTTATAATTATGCACAGAAAGGATACGCAACGCAATACTGATGAAATGCCACGATTAAAGGTTATCTGAATGTTTTTCCGCGTTTCGTGACAGCTTCTATCGAGCTATAACCGGAGATTGCAAACCTTGTATGAGATGTTGTGCTGATAGGAAAGACGAAGATATAGAGAAACAGTGCAGTGTTCAGTCCAACCTCCCTGCAAACCAGGTATGTCGATACGATGTCAACACCATCAAATGCGCGCCTACTGTTTACAGGACAACTGCGCCTGCTGTGTTGGTATCCACGGCTCCTGCAATCGCACATGACAAGATGGCCTACCGCTCTGACGACAGAGGCAGTGCTAGTACTATTTGGTTTATAGCCGTTGTGGCTTGTGTTGCTTTTACTGTGTGTGTTTCCTTTGGAGTGATGTTATTTGTCTGCTACAGAAAGCAATTTTTGTCACAGTATTTGTGCAACACAAGAGCGCATGCCGACGGAGACTGCGTGACTTCAACTCGTAAGTATCTAGTCATGCTTAGGACCAGGATAAAAGAAATTACACACATCTTTTCATGTTTTTAACCATATTTTGGTTACAAAATTAAAATTTGCAACCAAAATATGTTTTGAATCATATCGGCTGTTTTCACACCATACCCCTCTCTTTAAATTAGGCGTATGACCCTTTCCTCGGAGTTAAAATTGCTTTAGCATGGGTCTTTATAGAAACTCTTTAGCTTAAGTCTATCCTTTCCTCTGATAAATTAAATGAAATCATCGATTTTTGCGGATGGACAGGTAAGCATTTGTTCTATTCGTAGAACTGAGTGTAATCTCCCCTCAAATATACAGTAGAAAAGAAGAAGTTATACTTTTAGTTTTAACAAGCCTACATGTTTGCTTCCCTTACAGCAACCCAAGTTGTATGTAATCAGCCTTCAAGTCCTCCGATTGTGACTGGGAATGACTTTCCTAAATTGCAAATGGTATGACGTCCGTAACTTTCATAGCCAATTGAACAGGAGGAGATATCTACAGACACTACACCTGCATGGCACTGCGGCCCACGTAGCCTTTTTTGGTTAATGTTCCGATTATAAAGAACTACTGAAATTTACCCAAGTCAACATTATTAACAAAGACGACGCAGCCCAGAGGATAAATAATGACCAGCTCCTGACGAAAAACCTGACTGAAACCCATGGATAAAATGCTAACATATTTTAACTTAACGTTATATTTAACAAGATAAGGAAAATAAGTGATTTGGATTAGATCACAGTCTTAGCTCATATTCATTTTCTAATCTTATGTTAGTTATGTTAGTGAGCTATTTGCAAATGCGACGAAATTTGGCACCGAGCTCCTCTTTAAGGTGTAAACAAGGCGGGAAGGAGGGCTCCCTCGAGATCCTTTTTCACTCGTCAGGACTCTGAATTACATAATTTATAGTAGCCTTGATAGCGCATGAGATACATTGTGGATCAGATATGGAAGGCTACGATCGGCGACAAAGTTTTTGCCACATCACTGGTGATACCACATTCATAGTCTGGAAGAACTCATCAATTCCATTCCTTATATGGTCCCGTATCCTTATTTTTTACATCCCTCTTTCTCCAGTTTTTCAATATTGCACTTTGTTTCCTTTGATTGTGCAACATTGAATGGAAGAAGAGGGTATTAAAGAGAACTGTCGTTAATTTATAATGTTACTTTTTTAAAACTTCCTAATGGGAGTAGCGTGAATGATGCCAGTGATGTGTGTCAAACAGTTTTGTCGCGGATTGTTTTGCTTTAGTTAAATCTAAAGCAAGCCCTGATTTACGAAAGTCGATAAGGGATCAGGTGCAATCCCAAAATATTTTTGAAATCAAAAAATTTTTAATCGTAGAAACAGGATTTTTAATAAAAATTCTGTTTTAAAAGTTTTACGATCCAAACAACATTTACAAATCCTGAACAAAAGAATAAATTAAAAGGTTTTGGGATTTCCCTAATCGGCTTCCGTATGATTAGAGGTGTTTATCGCAGACTTTGAGATTCTTCGTGTGGAAACAAGCTTTTGCTTTCAAAAGTACTAGTCAACAAGTGAATAAGGGGAACAACGCAACAGAGGCCTCTTCCTGTCCAAGGTGCTGCCTGATGTGGCCTTAGGCCGCGTTGTTCAAAACACGATAAACCTAACCAAGGGTTAGCCAACAATTTTTCATCTAGCTTTGCAGCTTTGCAGTTAGTTTTAATTGGGCATATTTTTTCCCTCCAGTTTTGTCTCACGCTATAGCTAAGGTGAAATCCCTGAAAACGTAAGCCCAAATATACGCTTTATTTCAAGACAAGGACAAGTTAAACTTTTAATCGCGGATTATTGCTGGCGTCTTTTTGCACAACTGGGCTCTGGTGCGTTCGAAGAAAGCTTTATAATGCACTTCTATCTCAAGCGAAAATGCGCAACGCTAAAGGATTAAGTAACATCGCCTTCATAATCGAGATAAAGTAATGGCAAAAAAATAAAAAATAAAAACAAAACGAAAAAAACCCTTTGTTTGTAGTGGTGCATAATGCACTGAAATTATTTAAGCTCTTATCGGGTTCTGGTCCAGAACCGCAAGAGCTACTAATTAATTTATTCCGTTACAAGTTAATTGCTAAGAGCCAGCGGAAAAAAAAGATCAGAGATGCCAATTGTCTTATTAGCACGGGCAATGAAAATACAAACGATAATAATAATAATAATAATAATAATAATAATAATAACAATAATGATAATAATAATAATAATAATAATGATTACAGCAATAACAATAATAATATCAATAATGGTGTCAATAATAGTAATAATAATAATTATGATAATAATAACGATCATTTAAATATTTAGAATGATCATCATGATCATCGCCATCACTATACAGTACATTTCCCGCCTATTACACGACAACAACGATAACCGCTAGCTCCACAAGAAAAAAGAAAAGGTTCCTGCTGTATCCAGTACCAGCTGAATTTTTATCAGCCTATGTGATACAAATCACTCAACTTAAGCATCCAAATGGGCTAGGAAGTGACCTTAGTCTCAATCGTACCGAGAATGAAAAATATGTGGCAGTTAATGCTCGCCAGGAGAATTCTGCACAAAGGTTCTTCTTTGATAAGCTAGTCCCAAGTTAGCACTTTTCAAAACTCGAGACTCATTTTAAGGCTCAGGAAAGGTTGGTAAGTTCATCAGAGTGAAAAATTATTCGATTTTACCACAGTATAATCAAGTAAATGCAAATAATCGTAACAAACGTAAAATTGTTATATCTAATGTCAGAACTGGTACGGTTTGCATTATGCTATCCCAATTCTCCCAAACGAGATCAAAATATAACTTTTTTTGCACTGTCTGCCGTAAATTTCTTGTGACCCCTTAACTGATATTTCTCTCTTCTTCACCTTCGTCACTTTTCTGCTTGAAATTGTATCTGTACGCTAAAGAGAGGTTCATCCTAGGTATCTTCTGGAAATAAGAGCTTTTAGAAAATTAATCCTTTTAAGCTCCCAAGTTTTGGTTGTTAATTCTCCCCTCTAACTGTTAAACACTTCCATGTGAATTGCTAACGAGAATTTGGTGTTAGATCAAGATAACATTTTCTACTTAATATGTCTGACTATTCACTGAGCATTTTCTGGATATTGTATGGATGTAGAAGGGGAGAAGTGACATGTTAATCACTTTTGGTGGTTAAAGGTTTTATAATGCTTAACTGTTTTAATAATACTAAATGCAAGAATTAAAATTCGCGCATGTAAAGTTGGTTGCTCAAAGATACTCTCTGGATTGTAGCATAGTCCAGAGATTCCAACCCCATGTGATGGAAAATAGGGAGTAATTATTAGTGCCAAAGGCGCGAGCTTCTAGGGGGGGTCAGGGGGCATGCCCCCGGGAAATTTTGCAAATTTAGGTTCTCTCAAGTGCCATTTCCTGAATTTTGACATCATTCCGGCCTGAGTTATAACATACCATAATGCTCTTCGCGAAGAAAGTAAGTATAATATGAGTGTTTCACAGTGACAGATCGCCAAAAATTCTAAAGATTAGCAATTTTCCCCTAGTTTTCAGAATTTTATGATAAATCGGGAGAATTTGGTAAAAATCGGGAGAGCGGGAGGCAAGACATCAAATCGGGAGACTCCCGATCAAATCGGGAGGGTTGGAATCTCTGATAGTCACACATCAGGTGTTCAAACCTTAACTTTTGGTGGCCCTGGTCAGTTTTAACTTGCCCCCGGCAACTGTGCGACAGCCAATTTTTAGCCCTGCATTGTATTGTACATACATTGTATGTAGGTTTTTTGTTTATTGTTTGTTACTATTTTTTTTTTTTGGTTCTGATGCTGTTGAGGGAGAAAGGTGCATGACTGTACAAAAATTCATTATCATTCAAAAATACTATTTGAGATAAATATCACGTATTCTTTCCTTTCTCCCTTAATGTTCTGTTGAGGCCCATGGCCTGCTGCAGATGTATTTTGCAATGTCATTTCTTGCACAATTTTTGAGGGCTTGAACAAATTTCCTCATTGTAGGCTCCTTTGCAGAAGTTTTTAATGCTTCAAGTAGACATGCTGTGGGACTTCTTGTGTCAGCTTCTATCAAGTTTAAAGTATCAGGATTAACCTTCAGCTCTCTTCCAACACTGCGCCATGTTTTGCGAGTATGGGACTCTGCGGCATCAAGTTTTTTTTGAACATAGTTGAACAAGTTACCATTCTCATCACAAAATGTTTCCATACCAGAGACAAGAACATCTATGAGACAAAAAGGAAAGGAAGTTAATAAATATTTGAAATTATTTGGGACATGTTCACTTCACAATTTTGAGGTGTGCACATTTCACATCAACAAGTTTACAGATTTGGGGACATTTGTGTTGAATCCCTTAAATTATGCAGTTTTTATGAATTACAGGTGCCACGGATATTGACTGTATTTATTTTATTTATTGATGTATAGACAAATGGTTGGTAAAAGTCATTTTCCATTTTAGTTGCATGGGTTTTTATCATGTTATCATTACAATACAAGAACCGGTATGTACTGTTTTCATCACCTCATTTTAAGATTAATACAACCTTGGAGTGAGGCTTTTGCTATTGTGACTATAGTTTATTATCACCTGCAGGAATATTTTCTACATTCATGTCATCCTCCCCTTGAGCATCACTGGCATGAGAAGAAACCTCACATCTTGATATGTTGTTATCTAAAAAGATAATTGTTGATGAATATTGTTTTTACTCATCTATTATTTAAGAAAATCATTAGTTAGCAAAAAACAAAATGCAGGCCTTTTTTAATTATTGTTTAGAACATTTCATAAAATTTGCAACCTTTTGGTTAATTTACTGGAAGGTAATTGTAGGAATACTAAGATATATAGAGAAAAAAATTTAAAAGAAAAAATGTCATAATGTAATGGTCCATTTTACAGTTGTGTGCTTGGTTGCTAAGTCTTCGAACATGAGTGAGGCAAGGGGTGATGTTGTTATGATACAAAGTAAACCTTGCTGCTTTCAAATGTAAATTAATTACTTTGTTATCATGCCAACTACTAGTAGATACTGGTCTCTATCACAACATGGTCACCTTCAGCCTCACTCCAATCAAAGGCTTTGCAATGAAGTACACAATTGTAAAATGGCCCTTTAGACTCAATTATACCTGTTGGAATGTCCACCAATGTCTGTGTTAAAAGTGGTTCTGTGGCATTATCCTGAGGAGCAGGATCATGCAAATCCTCTAATGAAAAAATGAAAAAAACATAAAAACTTGAAGCTATTTCTCTTAAATTCTCTGATGTGATTAACATGTTCTCCACACAATTTTGATATTTGAACCAGCCACCAGGTAATGAGAATTCAAACTTTGTTGGCAGCTAATGAAAATACTCCTGGCTTCCTGATTTCTAGGGGCTGGAATAAACAGATGCCACTATAGAAGGGAGAATTTAAAATGAATCAGATCTTAGAGTTTAAGAAGTCAACATTTAAACTGCATTAATTGATAAAGCCACAATTTTTGGTCATACAGTGATAATTGTTGAACTGTGACAGAGAACTGAAATATAATTTTTGGTTCAAATGTTTACGCCAATTGTATAAAAGCAATATGTGATACATACATCTTATAGATTTAAAGTGAAATTACTAATTCAAGTCATGAAAATTAAATGAGGCCAGGTTTGGATAGCTGATCAAAGGCTGGTTGCTGCTTGGTTTATGCTAAATGAGGTCTCATGATAGAATTTTATTATACTGAGTAGCAAACTAAATCTCTAGTTTGAGAGAGTTTAACTAAAATTTATTCTTGCTTTCTCTTCACCATATTCCCACAATTAGCATAGCTCCATTATCTGCATAATTTTTATATAAACACACACAACCTACAATTCTTCCAATCAATCTGATGAAGGGCTATAAATGCTTGAAATGTCAGCCTTTTAAACTCTTTATGGTGGCCAATTTACATTATGAACTAATTTGATGTTATTATTACCCTGTTATACTCTCCCACCAATGCAACACAGCAATTTCACTAGAAACTTACCCTCTTTCAATCCCCAGAACTTGAGGTAAAGAAAAAAATTACAGAACAATAGGTAATTGCTTTTTATCAATGCAATCCTTTTTGTTTTTGTTTTTTCCTTTTTTGTAAGATAATGCTAACCTATTCTATGTTGAATTCAAAGTTTAAAATACCTTGTGTTGAAGAGCCACTATTTGTGGCTTGTGATGAACCCTCACTTTCACCAACATCAGTCAGTGGAATAATTTCTGCAGCATTATCTGAAAATGGTATGTTCTAAGTTAATTGCAATTATTGACCAAGCACTGCATGCATGAAGACTTTATATGCAAAAATATAGAAAGGAGAGCTAAAATTAATTGTAAAGCAAACTTAAAGTTATGATCAGCAAAATTAAATCTTAAGAAAATTTATGAATATATTCAGTCTACGTCACAAAGATTCAGATCTCATAATTAATTCACCTTACTGTCTGCTAGACAGTTCTGTTTATGTTAGCTGGGAGAATTTGCTATTGGACGAACTAAGTATTGCCCAATCAATATTTGTCTTAATTCTCATCACTTGTCTTCTCAACATCGTACAGATATCGATTGTAAGGAGAGATTCTGTCTTGGTCACTCTTTAGGGGTTAAAGATGTGGGCTTGTTGTCAAATTTTATGGATGACTTCACTGAACTAATTGAAAAGGTAAAATGTAAGTGGATGAGGGTGAAGATGTGATCTAAAATAAAACATTTTCAGATTGGTTTTCTGAAATAATATTGGAAAAGTGCTCTGAAGAAATTGGGGAGCAGAATCAACTGCCTTCCCAAACTACTGGGCAACTTATGTCTTGACATTAAACACTGGATGTAAATTTCTTGTTCCTGTTTCAGGTGACCTTTTCACTCTCAATATTTCATTAGTAATTCTCCTTACTGTCTGCCACACAATTCATATAGATTGAGTTTGGTGAAATTGGTAATGGATCAACAAATAATGTTAACTGATATTTTGCTTTATTCTCACCACTTATCTGCAGATGTTTTAATCATGTTGTAAGGAGAAATTTTGTTTTGGTTGGTGGTGGAAGTTTAAGGGTTGAGGTTAGTGTTTAAAATTTTTACTTGTGATTTGACATATCACCTGTTTTGTCATCAGCTTTTTAAAAAACACTTTTCATGCTATCAGTTCCCTGATGGCAAGACCAGAGGACTTACTAGCACGATTTTTGACCAATTTTTGAGTGTTAAAATCTTACCTGTTGACTCCTCATCTCTTGGATTACTGTGATCTTGCCTTTTCTTGTGGACAATCACTATCACCAGCACTAAGATAGTTGGAGCAAACACAATAACTAAAGCTATCAAAACATAGTTAATTGTTAAAAGTGTTTTGTGGTCCTGTCCAGGCTGAACTTTGTTTGTTGACCACACATTTGCAGAGTCATAATTTTCTTTTAGTGGTTGACTGCTGTTTTTCTTGACTTTAACTGAAGGACTTGAGGCAGTGGTGGTAACATCATAGGCTTCCGTTTCAGATTGTGTTTCAGTTATCTCTTTGTGACTGGTTTCCAATTTAACAGTTTTTGTGGAATGTGTTGTAGTAGGTGTGGGCATCATTGATTCCACTTTCACACAGTCATCAATGTTAATGTCAAATTCATATCCTTTAGGACATGTTTTCCCACACTCACGGTTGTGGTTAATTGTGCATTCCTTAATCATATTCCTCAAACCACAATCTTGACACGTTTTGCAGTGACCTTTTCCATGCTTATCAGAGAAAGTTTTGTTAGGTTCACAAAATACACACTCAATTTTTGAGTCATTTGACACCTTGGATCCACAAGGAACTGACAATCCCTGTCCAATGGGACAGTTTGCACAAGGAACACAGTCCACTATTTCACCATTGGGACTATACCGTACAATGTTTTTTGACAGAGGACATGGTATGGGTTCACATTTTATCGGAGACTGCAGCCATAGTAACCAAAGTAGTGTTATCTAAGGGAAAGAAAGAGGAGAACTATGAATCCATTTTGAGCGTGATTCTCTAAAATAATAATTACAAAAATTTTGACGCGGTGGGACACCAATATGAAAAAGCCATATCATTTGGATAGGTTAAATTGTTACTCTGTTCCTTTTTCAATAGGCCATTTGCGAATCACCTTTAGCCTCTTTTCCAAAATGAGGCCTGTAGCCATTTAGTATTGATAGTAAACTGAAGTATAAATTGTAACACATTAATGTTTTTTCATACATGTATCTCGAACTTAAAGACAATTTAGAATCACAATCGTATTCACCTAAGTATTTAAGGACACTGGTTTCAGAGGAGGCTTTCGATGCCTTCATTATATAATGTGACCTCTCACGCGAAAACGTTCCTTACGGTTTGCCGTTTTGAAACGGTAGCCGTTCGTAAGCCGTTTATCAGCCGTTCGAACGGGATGGGATGCCGTTCGAACGGCTTGAGCTATCCGTTCAAAAACAATTATGAGCCGTTCGAACGGCTGGAGCTATCCGTTCAAAAAAAATTGGGAGCCGTTCGAACGGCTGGAGCTATCCGTTCAAAAAAAATTGGGAGCCGTTCGAACGGCTGGAGCTATCCGTTCCAAAAAAATTGGGAGCCGTTCGAACGGCTGGAGCTATCCGTTCAAAAAAAATTGGGAGCCGTTCGAACGGCTGGAGCTATACGTTTCAAAAAAGTTGTGAGCCGTTCGAACTGGATGTTCGTGGCGAACGGCTGGCGATATGTTTTGAAACCGTAGCTTACAATTCCTTTGGAAGGGATGTTTCGAGCCGTGATCCTGTCAAAGTTAATAGTCTTCGCACTGCGATCAGTCAAGAGTACATCGGACAGACTAAAGTTAGTTTGGTAAACACTTGAAGGTTCCTAATATAGCGTGTTTCCCCTCTGCAAGGAATTAAACTCTGCTCTGTTTAGATCATGCTTGCCAAACCAACAGTACTATCGCGTGGGAGAATAACAGTAACAACATTCAACACGAACTTTGTAAATATAAGCATTGTTTACAAATGCCTTCATGAATAATCACGGTTCTTTTTCTACTCCTCCATCATCTTTAGTTACGTAACATTCGATTATCGATACACATTTTTTATTCAAGATCAAGTTTATTCAACTAGTTTACCGAAAACTAGTTTACCGAAAATATCAAGCGCTTTTGATTGAAATCAAAATGGAATCTCTTGAGGGAATACACCGTACCGTCGGCAAGATGTCAATCCACTCATTACCAATGCAAACACAAAGCGCGTGTGTTATTCATATGCTAAGTTGAAAACAATTACTCTCCATTTGTCCAATAAAAACTATAGAATTTCGATCCGCCGTACGCTATGAAAGTGTATAAAATGACTAGAGTAGCGACCAATTGTCACTCGATCTAGTCTAGCTCGCGGTTTTTATCAGTTGTGCTATCACTTGCTTATACTTGAGATCAGTAATCATGTCTCTCAGACTGTTGTGCAAACAGAATAGGCGTCCTTCGAATGCGTTGTTTTACTTCCGGCAAGAGCAAAAAACCGGGATCGCACCAACTCGAATAATCATCGAAAAACAACTGGATTTGACTGTAGGAATGGTGGTGACTGTCAATTGGGATGGAGAAAAAGTAGAAGCGGAGATCCTGGCTTTAGATGGTAAGTCTCGCTTAGTTTCGAGTTTTTCAAAGTGACCTGTTTTTCTCGCGGCTTCGCCGCTCGTCTCTTCGGCCTCGGCCGAAGACAAGTTTTTCGTCGGCCGAACAACGCGAGAAAAAAGAACCCTGGAACCCAGGGTAATTGAAGGAGTGTAGTTAACCTAATTAATTACCTTTAGCTAAGGTTTTGCTACATATCGAAGATTTTTTTTTTACTGGCTCAAGGAAACACTCTCGGAAACACACTCTGTATTTAGCGCTATATAAATCTAATTTATTATTATTATTGTTCTTATTATCATCACCGTCATTAAAGGACATTCAATTTTGCTTGTAGATGACGTGAAAGTTCTAAACACGAAGGATTTAGAGTGGTCTAAACAAAACTTACCCGTTACTATGAGCCCCGAGTCGGCGAACGCCGAAGAGAAGGAAAGTAAGATTTTACAATAATTTTGAAACTTCTTCGTCTGACAAGAATAGCCCAACTGAAATTGAATTTATGTTTTCGGACGCCCCTACAGGATCGTTGTAGTTCGGGTTTTTAACAAGTTCATAACACAAACATTCTCCACACTGAGCAGGTTTCTTCGTCGAACTCGAATGTATTCTTTAGCGCGATAATAAACTGATATGTGACGAAACATTTTAATTACACAAATCCCCTCTAACCTTGAGCTCGATGGCGCACTTCATACCATGTGAGAGAAACCTGTAAGAGAAACAAACGTGAAAGACTGATCGAAAACTGTCAACAGGTTGCTAGAGATATAAATAGCCAGTCTGCTGAAATTAATGCAGATAAAAAGGGGAATCGGCTCGATTAGAAACAACGGCAAAAAGAGGGACCTCTGCCCCTTCGCTAGACTTTACTGCTTACCCATTCTAACCCGCTTGGATACTGAAATTTAGGTTTCTTCTTGCTGGACAGAGAAAATCTGTGGTAACTTAAACTCTTTTCAAGTCGAGTTATTTGTATTCAGTTAGCGATCCTAATAACAGAAGCGCACGCGAAAGTGATGGTGCAATCGACGTCGCGGATCGATCTTATGACAGTAGAGGAAGACTGGAACGAGGTAGGGTCTGGGGATTAGGGGGGATTCCCCTAAAACGATTTCTGTCAGTTTTTTTAACTTTTCAGCGAGCGTACGTGCGTTCGCTTATAACCATAGACGACTTCGTGTTTCCTGGTATGCTGAACGTTCTACATTTAGCTGTTTGTGGGTGACCCTTGTTGCGGACGTGGAAATTTCAAACAAAGAGAATTATCCGGGACCCGTATTGATTGATTTACTATGTGCAACGAATCTTCTCGCTTCTCAAATATTAACAATTTAAATAATGGCCGAAACATTGCGATCTTCAATTGATGTCTTGAATTTACAATTGAAAGTGACTCTTGAATTATTGTTCGGACGATTAAGCATCTTTTTATCATCATAGTCAACAAAGATATCCCATCAACATCCTTACATATGATCAACAAAAGACCTGCCTTGTTCCTGTCAACCAAGCTTCCTACGAGTGACTAAAACTAATAGTATAGTGATCTACACCTAATAAGGACTCTAAATCATGAATCAAATGATTAAACACTCATATGTCTTTGTTAAATTATGATAATAAGGCATGGTTAATGAAAACATTGGCAAAATCATTCGGACAAGAGTGGACAGAGCATTAATTGGAAAAGTGGAAAACTGTCGAGCGAAAATTTTGGAAGAAGAAGCTTAAACATTGTGAGGAGGGGAAATTACATGAAAATTTTCCTACGAACGCATTTTAACCTAATGAGATTACCCTTTCGCACTAAAAACGGTTTTCAGAGTAGATTATTTCGAAAACATTCGTGTGGGTAAACGAAAGCGGAGGTAAATGTATTCGAAATACAAATGACAAGGTGGTACAATATATTTGTTCTCCTGTAAGTATGAAAGCTTAGCTACGATAACATATTATTGTAAAGCCGTGATATACTCCAATATAATCTAAATCTAGAAAAGCCTGGTCTGGCTGGCCGAAATATTATTTTGAATGATATTTTGATACCTCACTATTCAGTTCTCATATTTGGCTGATGGGGTCTCCTGTGAGGTACAACTTACAACCAAGCAGGATCTTTGTTCGCAGTTTTGGAAGTTTATCAGTTTCAAATCGTTTCTTTTCCTTCTTTAAGTAGAACTTGTGGACGAAGAAGAACGAGTGAACCCTTAATTAGTTATCAAATACGAAGAACCGGAAATCTTACGCTAACATAACTTTACACGTCATATCCTTTGAGCGCAAAGGTAATCAGCAATATGAAAATGTTCGTGTGGGAAACGTAAAACGTCGCCAAAGAAGAAAAGATGCAACGAAATAAGTAAACAAGCTTACTTTGACGACGTGATGTGTCCATGTGACGTCTGTTTGAGGCGATCCGATCCAAGGCTTAGTTTTCGATCTTGTCTTTACCTTCTTACAAACTAGCTCCATCTCTTTGACACACTGCATTGACGTCAGTTTTTTTTTTTAATCAGTTCATGACTATCAGGCCATTCTTGCATAAGACACGAGGCAAAGACGTAGCGAAGTCGGAAATGCGCTAATTTGGTGATGCAACCCATGTCTGAACTGTCAATATCCTCTAAACCGTTGCCATAATTTGCAGCGACTCGCAAACACTGGTTAAAAATTGCTTTAAGCTAGATCGAAAATTAAGTGAAGCATATTTAAAGCTCGAGTTCTTTCTGCTTTTAAAGCCAAGAACTGGTTAGTAACGTTCACATCGAAATGAAAAAGGAAGAAGTATATCAAATTACTTATCACACCAAAGGGGTTTTTCCCTCCAATATGCTTGAATGACCTTTGCATGCGTACTGAAGCAAAACCGCCCGCATCTAAGGCACCGAAGATTGTTCGAGAAAGCTTTCCAGCAACGGGTGTCTTATTCTAATATTCATTTTTCTGAAGTTTTCTTTTATGCACGAGGCAGCCTTACTAAAAAGGTCTTGTTGTCAAAAGTAGTTACCCATTTCATTTTTCTTCCGTGGTGGACACTGATTACACAAGTGATGACTAAGCATCTCGGTTGCGTGGGAGTTATTCTCATAAAACAACCTGTATTACGTGATCTTAAAGAGAAATATTTCTTGAAAAATTTGAAAATCGGATTGAAAACCACATAGGTTACTGAAAATAAATAAGGACTTCCTTTTCAAGATAATATTGTGAATTATTAGTGATCTGAAATTATGCAAACGAAGCAAATTTATTCGCGGATGTGATAAATGTTGTCATTTAAACGGTAGAGGGAAAAATGATATCATTTCATTGATTAATTGAAATTAGTCAAGAAAAGTGGTATATGATGAAATACCATGATTAAAGGTTATCTGAATGTTTTTCCGCGTTTCGTGACAGCTTCTATCGAGCTACAACCGGAGATTGCAAACCTTGCATGAGATGTTGTGCTGACAGAAAAGACGAAGATGTAGAGAAACAATTAAAATTTTGCAACTAGAATATGTTTAGAATCATGTAGGCTATTTTCACACCATACCCCTCTCTTTAAATTAGGCATATGACCATTTCCTCGAATTTAAAGTTGCTTTAGCTCAGGTCATTTATAGAAACTCTTTAGCTTATGTCTATCCTCTCTTCTGAGATATTAAATGAAATCATCAATTTTGGCGGATGGACAGGTTGGCATTTGTTCTATTCGTAGACCTGAGTGTAATCTCCCTTCAGATATACAGTAGAAAAGAAGAAGAAGTTACACTTTTAGTTTTAACAAGCCGACATGTTTGCTTCCTTTACAGCAACCCAAGTGGTACCTAATCAGCCTCCAAGTCCTTCGATTGCGACTGGGAATGACTCTCCTAAATTGCAAATGGTATGAACTCCTTAACTTCCTTGGCCAGGTGAACAGGAGGAGATATCTACAATCATCGGTCACTTACCACAAAAAATCAACCGGAAGTCAATTAACGGCTGAGTAATCTCTCACAACAGATTTCCGTTAGAGATGCTGCTTCTAGTTGTCTCCAAAAGGGAGCTAGACTTAGAAACAGATATTGCTTATACTTCGGTTAATCTCACTCAAGATGCTATCTAAGGGGCCATTATTTATCGCCGTGAAAAGGGAGGCTAGGGGGAAATGGTTGTTTCACTATAAAATTTACTAGGGGCCCCCACGAGGCTCTGTAATATTCTTATGGTTTTTCCCCACCTCACCCAACCCCACCTCATCGGAAATTAATTGGCAGTCGATTTTCTTTAGTCTCTCCTATACGTTCTGTTGGACACGACTTTCCTTGTAAATTACTTACAAGAATTTGGTGTTAAATCAAGATAACATCTTCTACTCGTTATGTCTGACAATTCATTGAGTATTTTTTGGATGATGTATAAGGGGAGAAGTTACATGTTAATCATTTTTCGGTGGTTAAAGGTTTTATTATGCTTAACTGTTTAACAGTGCTATATGCAAGAATTGTGTGTAGAGTTGGTCGTTCAAAGATACTCTCTGAATAATTTGTAAGAGAACCTTTCTAACTCCGAAGAAGGAAGACCACATCTTTTGACACTTCACTAAATGACATCTGTATACAAAGACAAATCAAAGTCTGTGATGCAGAACCACTTGCATGGTTCTGTGCTTGCTAGACTCTAAAGGTATTGCCATGTTGCTCCCATTTATTCTAGAATTTTACTAGGAAGTAGCTTGGAAATTACCAATTCTCTGATTAGAGTTTTGCTCCTATGGACTTCCTATTTTGGTTCACCCTTCTAACCTTGTTTCTTGGAAAAGATAATGGAACAGAATGAAAGGTTTAAGAGGTCCAAAATGCACATTTGAAAGCCAGTGATGACAAATAATATGCAGTCACCTTTCATCCAATCAAATCATGTTCTCTAATTCTTGTAACACTGTTAAAATGGTAATCTTCCATATCATCGGTCTTTCCTTAGGTGTCTTGTAAACAATCCTCAACACATAAACAGTGTACATGACATGTAATGAGCTACAGTGGAAACTTTGGACATCATTTCTTTATTGAATGTTGAATAGTTCCTATCATAAAATAATTTTTGTACAGCTCTAAATTATAATTTAATACCTTAACATTAAATTTAAGAGTGATATCCAATTCAGCAGTTAAATAATTAAACAAATACGATTGCATGATACAAATCCCCAATAAAGTACATTATAACCCTTTAATTCCTGCAAGTGACAAAGAGAGACTTTAATCAATACACTATCAACCAGATAAATGACGAGGATAAAGAAAATATAAATTTGGGAATAATTAGTTGATCCAATACCAAATTCTCTGAAGTAACATTATAAGAATTGTATGGTTGACAGTAAGGAGAATTATAAATTTGGTCTGGGAGTTAAAGGATTAAGTTAAAAATGGAGATCAGAAATTTTTATTAATAACCATCTCTCATTCTAAAAGATAGCTGTTTGATGCCTAAGGTTACCCTGAACATGTCTGTAATAAGTAATTCTTAATATTAAGCCAATAGTTATGTATCAATTAAATTATCTATACCATACCATTTTTTCATAACAAAATACCAGTAGTTTACATATAAGTCATCTTAATGAAGAGCTTAATAAACTACTGTGCCTCCCGTTCACAAGAAATATCTTCCTAGCTTGCAGGAAACCCAAATACAGAACGAGACATCAAAACATCTCGAGGGAGAAAGGTTCATGGCTGAACATAATTAATATATCATTCAAAAATACTATTTGAGATACATATATTGTTTTCTTTAAATATATGATTAACTTGAATTGGTCATACAGCTCCAGTCTGCCCTGACCAATTTAGTAAACCATGCCACGTCATGATCTCTTTTCTGTTGTTAACACAGCAACTGTTAAATATTTTGTAAACCAATATGAACACTGAATTTGCTGCCATTACTCTATCCTTAATGGAGGCTGTGTAAAAATTGCAAATTTTACAATCTGTCTCATAAAGATGCTTTTTAATCTACCCTACTTAGCATCTTGTTAAATATAGTTATACTCAGTCATATGTTGTAAAGTAAGCCTTTATACTGGCCCAAGTGACCCATGGGGCCAGCGTTTAAATCTGGTTTCCTTCAGCATGAAGTGGCTAGGAGTATTGCTACTCCCCCCTGGATGGGTTGCTAGTCCATCGCAGGGTTACCCCCAGAATATTGGCTGATACCCATTTGTACACCTGGGTGAAGAGAAGCACTGTGAGAGTAAAGTGTCTTGCCTAAGAACACAACACACTGACCCCGGCCAGGGCTCAAACCTGGACCACTTGATCAGGAGTCGAGTGCACTAACCATGAGGCCACTGTACCTCTACTCAGTCATATGTTGTAGCATAGCTATATTAAGCAACTACATACTACTGTATGAAGCTAAACTGCTTCACAAAGTGTACACAATAACTTCCTGCATAGAAACAGCAACATTTTATCCCAAATATTATTCTTCGGGGCACAGAATGCATGCATCGAATGTGGGTTTTTTCTGTTTGTTGTTTGTTATTTTTTTTTTTTGCTCTACTGGAGTTTTACATCCCTTGGAGGATTTTTGAGAAGGAACTCCAAATGAGTATGCTTCCGATTGTCCTATGAGCCTTTATAGGTCCTTCCTATGAAATAGAACATGCACATTGACTTTGGTCAAATTTTATCTTTGGTAGATTATCTCAGAAACTTTAAATGTTGTTATTTTACTCTCTTGGGGGTAGCAAGATAATTTTTAAATCTGTGCTGTAAAGGTTGTCATTTTGTCCTCTTATCAAAGTATGAGAACTAAAATTTGAGAGGCAAATTATTCCTCAATTTCAAGACAATTTCAATACATTATTCAAAATACTATTTGAGATAAATATCATGTATTCTTTCCTTCCCCCCTCAATGTTTTGTTGAGGCCCATGGTCCATTGCAGATGTATTTTGCAATGTCATTTCTTCCACAATTTTTGAGGGCTTGAACAAATTCCCTCATTGTAGGCTCCTTTGGTAAAGTTTTTAAATATCCAAGTAAATGTTCGGTAGGACATCCATCAGGTGGTATCAAGTTTAAAGTATCAGAATGAACCTTCAACTCTCTTCCAACACTGCGCCATGTTTTGCGGGTGCAGGTCTCGCTGGCATCAAGTTGTGTTTGAACATACTTGAACAAGGTGCCATTCTCATCACATAACATTTCCATACCAGAGACAAGAATGTCTACATGACAGAAAGAAAAGGAAGGTAATAAATATTTCAAATTATTTGGGACATGTTCAATTCACAATTTTGAGGTGTGCACATCTCACATTAACAAGTTTCCAGATTTGGGGACCTTTGTGTCAAATCACTTAAATTATGCTGTTTTTATGAATTACAGGTGCCAGAATTTTAACTGTATTTATTTAATGTGTTGATATAGGGATAAATGGTTGGTCAAAGTCATCTTCCATTTGAGTTATGTGGATTTTTATCATGTTATCATTGCAATACATGTACCGGTATGTACTGTTTTCATCACCTCATGTTAAGATTTACAACCTCGGAGTGAGGTTTCTACTATTGACAACTAATTATAAGCACCTGCAGGAATATTTTCTACATTCAAGTCATCCTCCCCTTGAGCATCACTGGCATGAGAAGAAGCCTTATTTCTTGATATGTTGTTATCTAAAAAGATAATTGTTGATGGATATTATTTTTACTTATCTATTATTTTAAGAAAATCATTAGTAAGCAAAACATGAAATGCAGGGCTTTTTTAATTATTGTGTAGAACATTTCATAAAATTTTTAACCTTTTGGTTAATTTGCTGGAAGGTAATTGCATGTAGGGATACTAGGGTATATAAAGAAAAAAATTGAAAAGAAAAAATGTCATGATGCACTAGCCCATTTTACAGTGCATGCTTGGTTGCCAAGCCTTCGAACATGGGGAGGCTAAGGGTGACGTTTTTATGATACAAAGTTATCGTTGCTGCTATTCAGGTGTAAATTAATTACTTTGTTATCATGCTAACACAAATCCTATAGTACAAAAATTAAAAAAAACATAAAAACTTGAAGTCTCTTTCTCTTAAATTCTCTAGTGCGATTAACATGTTCTCCACACAATTTTGATATTTGAACCAGCCACCAGGTAAAGAGAATTCAAACTTTGTTGACAGCTAAAGGGCATTTGTCAGGAAATACTCCTGGATTACTGATTTGTAAAGGGCCAGAATAAACAGATGCAGCTATAGAAGGGAGAATTAAATGAATCAGATCTTAAAGTTAAAGAAGTCAATATTTGAACTGCATTAATTGGTAAAGCTACAAATTTTGGTCATACAATGGGCTTACTTGTAAGTTGCAACATGAAATGAAACAAAATGAAAATCTGAAATTTTTGAAATGGAAATTTGCTAATGATTTGCAAAATAGAAATAGCAAATTACAGATTTCTATTTTGCAAATCATTAGCATATTTCCATTTCATAAATGACAGATTTCATAAGAAACTTACCCCCTTTCAATCCCCAGAACTTGAGGTAAGGAAAAAAAAATTACAAAACGTTTTGGAATTGCTTTTTATCAATCCTTATTGTAATTATTTTTCTCTTTTTGTGAGATAATGCTACCCTATCCTATGTTGAATTCAAAGTTTGAGATACCTTGTGTTGACGAGCTACTAGTTGTGGCTTCTGATGAACCATCACTTTCACCAATATCATTCAGTGGAATAATTTCTGCTGCATTACCTGAAAACGGTATGTTCTGAGTTAATTGCAATTATTGACCAAGCACTGCATGCATGTGGACTTATGCAAAAATATAAACAGGAGAGCTAAAATTAATTGCAAAACAAACTTAAAGTTACAATCACAAAAATTAAAATCTTAAGAGGATTTTATGAATAAATCCAGTCTATATCACAAGGATTCAGATCTTAATCCTTTCACTCCCAGATCTCATAATTAATTCACCTTATGTTAGCTAGGAGAATTTGGTATTGGATCATCTAAATATCGCCTGACCAATATTTTTCTTAATTCTCATCACTTGTCTTCTCAACATTGTACAGATATTGATTGTAAGGAGAGATGCTGTCTTGGTCACTCCTGGGGTTTGGGGGAGTTAGGGGGTTAAATGATTGAGATGTGGGCTTGTTGTCAAATTGAGAGACAGCTTAAAATGTACGTGGGTGAGGGTGAAGCTGTTATCTAAAATACAACATTTTCAGATTGGCTTTCTGAAATCATAATGAAAAAGCACTCTAAACAAATTGGAGAACAGAATCAACTGCTTTCCCAGAACTACTGGGCAACTAATCTCTTGACATTAAAAACTGGATGTAAATTTTTTGTTCCAGTTTCAGGTAACCTTTTCACTCCCAATATCTCATAAGTAATTCTCCTTACTGTCTGCCATACAATTCTCATAGATTGAGTCTGGAGAAATTGGTAATGGATCAACATTGACATTTGACATTTTGCTTCATTCTAACCACCTGTCTGCTGATGTTTAATGATATTGCATGAATGAAGGATTTTTTGACCAATTTTTGAGTGTTAAAATCTCACCTGTTGACTTTTTCCTTTTCTTGCAGAGTCAAAGTTGTCTTCCATTTGAGTTATGTGGGTTTTTATCATGTTATCATTGCAATACATGTATGTACTATTTTCATCACCTCGTATTAAGGTTTACGACCTTGGAGTGAGGTTTTTGCAATCATGACTAATTATTATCACCTGCAGGAATATTTTCTACAGTCATGTCATCCTCGCCTTGAGCATCACTGGCATGAGAAGACACCTCATTTCTAACTGATATGTTGTTATCTAAAAAGATAATTGTTGATGAATAATATTATTTTTAACTATCTATTATTTTAAGAAAATCATAAGTAAGCAAAAAACGAAATGCAGGGATTTTTTAATTATTGTTTAGAACATTTCATAAAATTGTTTAACCTTTTGGTTAATTTGCTGGAAGGTTATTGCATGTAGGAATACTAAGATATGTAAAGAATGAAATTGAAATGAAAAAATGTCATCATGCAATTGTCCATTTTACAGTTGTATGCTTGGTTGCCAATGAACATGAGTGAGGCTAAGGGTGATGTTGTTATGATAACAAAGTTGATGTTCACAGCTGCTCTTCAAATGTAAATTAATTTGTTATCATACTAACTAGATGCTGGTCTCTATCACAACATGGTCACCTTCAGCCTCACTCCAATCAAAGGCTTGGCAATAAAGTACACAATTGTAAAATGGCCTATTGAACTCAATTGTACCTGTAGAAATGTCCACTAATAAAAGTGGTTCTGTGGTATTATCTTGAGGAGCAGGATCACGCAAATCCTCTATAAGAAAGAACATGAAAACTTGAAGTCTCTTTCTCTTAAATTCCATGGAACAATTAAAATTTTCTCCACACAATTTTAATATGTGAAGCAGCCACCAGGTAATGAGAATTCAAACTTAGTTGGCAGCTCAAGGGTGTTTGTTAGCAAATACTCCTGACTTACTGATTTGTAAGGGAATAAACAGAAGCAGCTATGGAAGGGAGAAATATTAAATAAATCAGATCTTAGGGTTTAAAAAGTTGATATTTAGCCCTTTGACCACTGAGAGTGAGCATCCAATTTCTCCTTATACTCTCATCCCTGAATCACACATTAAGGTCTCAAGAATAAAGGAAATGATCACCAACCAGGGAAGCTCTTGATTGTTAAGCAAATTTTCTTTGTCACCACCTTTGGAAATGTATGAAGAGAACTGTGGAGAATATCCCTTCTGATGTTAGGGTGTAAAGGGTTAAATTGCATTTAATTGTTAAAGCCACAATTTTTGGTCATTCAATGATAATCATTGAACTGTGACAGAAAATTGAAATATCATTATTGGTTCAGGTATTTATGCTAATTGTATTTACGCAATTTGTGATCTATGCACATCTTGAAGATCTAAAGTGAAATTTAACTAATTCAGGTTGCGAATATTAAGAGGCGAGGTTAATGGATAGCTGATCAAAGGTTGGCTTATCCAATTGGTTTATGCTAAATGGGGTATGATGATAGAACTTTACTGTACAGTAGCAAACTAAATCACCAGAGAGAGTTTAACTAAAATTTATTCTTGTTTTCTTGTCACCATATTCCCGCCAACAGTGTTGCTCCATTATCTACATTTAAACACACTCATGACCCACAATTCCTCCAATCACTCTGATGAAGGGCTAACACTCAAAATATCAGCTTTTAAACACTTTACAGTGGCCAATTTATGTTATTAACTCATTTGATATTACTAAATTACCCTGTTATACCCTCCCACTGATGCAGCACCATTGAGTTTCTTTAGAAACTTACCCCCTTTAAATCGCCAGAACTTGAGGTAGAGAACAAAATTTACAAAATGTTTTGTAATTGCTTTATCAATCCTTATTGTGTTTGGTTTGTTTGGTTTTTTTTTGTAACTTAAGGTAATGCTACTCTATGTTGAATTCAAAGCTGAAATACCTTGTGTTGAAGAGCCACTAATTGTGGCTTCTGATGAACCCTCACTTTCATCAGAGGCAGTCAGTCGAAAATTTTCCTCTGCACTATCTGAAAATGGTATGCTGTGAGTTAATTGCAATTATTGACCAAGCACAGCATACATGTAGACTTATGGGAAAATATAAACAGGAGAACTAAAATTAATTAAAAAAAAACTTTAAGTTACAATCACTGAAATTAAAATCTTAAGAGAATTTTATGAATAAATTCAGTCTATTAGTCTGAGATTCAGATCTTAACCCTTAATGAGTGAGTTCTGTTTATGTTAGGTGGGAGAATTTGGTATTGGATCAACTAACAATCACCTAACTGATATTATTCTTAATTCTCATCACCTGTCTGTCTGTACAGATAATGATTGTAAGGAGATTTTCTGTCTTGGTCATTCCTTTGGGGTAGGAGGGTTGAATGATTGAGATGTGGGCTTATTGTCAAATTGAGGGATGGCTTTACTGAAATAGTTGAAAAGGCAAAATTTAAGTGGAAGAGGGTGAATATGTGATCTAAAATAAAACATTTCCAATTTGGGGAATGTTAAGAATTGACTGCTTTCCCAAACTACTGGGTAACTTAAATCTCTTGACATAAAACTGGATGTTAATTTTTTTTTACCAGTTTCAGGTAAGCTGTTCACTCCCATGATCTCATTTGTAATTCTTCTTACTGTCTGTCATACAATTCTCCAGGAGTGATATTGGAGAAATTGGTAATTGATCAATAAATAATCCTCTAATTTATATTTTGCTTTATTCTCATCACTTGTCTGCTTCATGTTGTGATGATATTGTGGGAAGAGATTATGTTCAGGTCAGTTGTGGGAGTTAAAGGTTGAGGTTTTCCTGCTATCAGTTCCTTGATGACAAGATCAGAGGACTTGCCACCAGGATTTTTGACCATATAAGTATTAAAATCCTACCTCTTGGCTCTCCATCTCTCTTTGAAGTGCTGTGATCTTGCCCTTTCTTGCAGACAATCACCAGCACTATGATAGTCACAACAATCACTACAGCTATTAAAACATAGATAGCCATTAAAAGTGCTTTGTGGTCCTGTTGAAGCTGAACTTCCTTTGTTGACCACACATATGGAGAGTTATTAGTTCCCTTCAGTGATGTCCCTTGTGAAGGGGTATTATCAACACCTGTTGATGGAAATTTTGGCTGACTGCTGTTTATATCGATAGAATTACTTGAGGCAGTAGTGGTAACATCATAAGCTTCTCTTTTATATGGTGTTTCAGTTGTTTCTTTGCCACTGGTTTCCAGTTTAACAGTTTTTGTGGAATGTGTTGAAATAGCTGTGGACATCTCTGATTCTGGCTCTTCCACACAGTCATCAAATGTATTATCAAAATCATACCCTTTAGGACATGTTTTCCCACACTCACGGTTCTGGTTGATTGTGCATTCCTGAATCACATTCCTAACACCACAATCTTGACATGTTTTGCAGTGTCCTTTTCCATGGTCATCAGAGTAAGTTTTGTTGGGCTCACAAAATACACACTCAATTTTTGAGTTATTTGATACCTTGGATCCACAAGGAACTGACAATCCTTGTCCAATGGGACAGTTTGGACAATGAACACAGTCCACTATTTTACCATTAGGACCATACCGTGCAATATTTTTCGACAGATGACATGGTATGGGTCCACATTTTATTGGAGACTGCAGCCATAGTAACCAAAGTAGTGTTACCTAAGGGAAAGAAAGAGGAGAAATATTAATCCATTGTGAATGTGATTCTAGAAAATATCTATAAAAAAATTTTTTGATGCAGTGGGACATTAAGATGAAAAAGCCATATCATTAGGAGGGGTTAAATTCTTACACTATTCCTTTTTCAATCGGGCATTTCCAAATTACCTTTGGCCTCTTTTTCAAAATAAGGCATCATGCTCAATCATTTGTATGAAGATGAATTTATTTTGCAGAAGAATGAAAAGTTCTAATCATATGAAAGGATGAGCACCAGGACTTGCTTTGAAAAAGAGGCCAAAGGTGCTATAACCATTTAGTGTTCATCCCTTTGTATTATACCACATAAGTATATTTTCATACAGTCATTTGTCTCAAACTTTTAGACAATTTAAAATCTCAATTATATTCAGTCACTTATAATAATTGAATTAAGGATGCTGGTTTCAGAGGAGGCTTTCAATGCGTTCATTATAATATACCCTCTGAAAATTATACAATAATTTTGAAAGATAAAATTTCTTGGTATGACAAGAATGACCCAACCGAAGCGGAATTTATGTCTTCGGATGCCCCTATATATGTATTCTTTTGCGCGTTGATAAAATATGTGACGAAACATTTCATTTACATCAATCCCCTCTTACCCTGAGCTCGATGGCCCACTTCATACCATATGAGGCAGACCTGTAAGAGAAATAAACGTGAAAGATTAGTCGGAAGCTGTCAACAGGTTGCTAGAGATTTAAATAGCCAGTCTACTAAAATAAATGCAGATGAAAAGGGAAATTGGTTCGATTAGAAACAAGGGCGAAAAGAGGGACCATGGTCACTTCACCGCTTACCCATTCTTGCCTGCTTAAATACTAAAATTAAGATTTCTTCTTGTTGGATAGAGAAAATCTGTTGTAATTTAAACCCTTTTCAAGTCGATTTATTTATATTCAGTTAACGATCTCAAACGATCCCAATGACCGAGGTGCACGCGAAAATAATGGTGCAATCGATGTGGCGGAATATCTTTATGACTGTAGAGGAAGACTGGCACGAGGTAAATTCTGGGGATTCCCCTACAACCCAAATTAACCAAACGACGTCAAATTACGCTAACCTGCGTTCGCCCTTAATCTTTGATGACTTCATGTACCTGGCATGCTGAACATTCTATGCTAAGCTGTTTGTGGGTGTCCCTTCATGCAAATTTCAAACAAAACTATGGAAACAAAAACAAACAGAGAAGAGAATTATCCGAGCCCCGTTTTGATTGGTTTACTATGTGCAATGAATCTTCGTCGCCTCTCAAATATGAACGGTTTAAATAATGGTCGAAACATTGCGATCTTCAATTGATGTCTTGAATTTACAATTGACAACGACTCTTGAATTATTAGTCGGAAAATTAAGCATCTTATGGTCAACAAACATATCCTATCAACATCCTTACGTATGATCAACAAAAGATCTGCCTTGTTCCTGTCAACCAAGCTTCCAACGAATGACTAAAACTAATAGTATAGCGATCCACACTTGATACACATGACAAGAGTGGACAGTGCATGTGAGGGAAGACGAAAGCGGTGATAAATGTATTCGAAATACAAATGACAGGGTGGTACAATATATTTGTTCCCCTTTAAGTATGAAGTTGGCCGAAATTTTGTTTTGAATAATATCTTGATATCTCACCTTTCACTTCTCACGTTTGGCTGATGGGGTCTTCTGTCAGGTACAACTTATAACTAAGCAGGATCTTTGTTCGCAGTTTTGGGAGTTTATCAGTTTCAAATCGCTTGTTTCCCTTCATTAAATAGAATTTGTGAATTAAGAAGAAGCGAGTGAACCGTTAATTAGTAATCAAATACAAAGAACCGGAAATCTTTGCACGTCATATCCGTCGCGGCTAAAAATCTCAATTTGAGCGCTGAGGTAATCAGTATTATGAAAATGTTAGTGTGGGAAACGTAAAACATCGCCAAAGAAGAAGAGATTTTTGACAACATGTTGTGTCCATGTGACGTCTGTTTGAGGTGATCCGATTCAGGGCTGAACGTTCGATCGCGTCTTTACCTTCGTTCAAAATAACTCTATCTTTTTGAAAGACTGTATTAAAGTCAGTTTTTTGATGTCAGTTCATGTGTTAGTCCATTTTCACACTAAGACACGAATTAAAGAAGTAGCGGAGTCGGAAATGGGCTAATTTGGTTATGCAACCCATGTCTGAACTGTCAATTTTCCTCGGAATGCAGTGACTCCAAACATTGCTGAAAAATTGCCTTAGGCTAAATTGGAGAGTAAGTGAAGCATATTTAGAGCTCGATTTCTTTCTGTTTGAAAGCCAAGAACTGGTGTAAGTGACGTTCACATCGAATTGAAAAAGAAGGAAGCATATCAAATTACTAAAGTTACAAATTATCTCTTAGGGGTTTTTCCCTTCGAGACCAGCAACTAGCTTGCGCCTGAGTGACCTTCGTATGCATATTTTAGCAAAACAAGCCGCATCTAGGGCACTGAAGATTGTTCGAGAAAGCTTTCCAGCAACAGGTATTTCATCTTAACATTCAATTTCTCGAGGTTTGCTTGTGTGCACGAGGTAGCTTTACTGAGAAGGTCTTGTTCTAAAAATTAGTCACTTATCTCATTTTTCTTACGTGGTGGACTCTGATTAAAAAACTGATGACTAAGCACATTGGATGTGGGGGAAATATTCCCATAAAACAACCTTTCTTACGTGATTTTAGAGAGAAATACTTCTTTCGAAATTTGAAACTAGGATTGAAAACCACAGAGGCGACGGAAAAAGAAATAAGGACTTCCGTTTCAGGATAACATTGTGAATTATTTGTGATCAGAAATTATGCAAACGAAGCAAATTTAATTCCAGAGTTCATAAATGTGTTCGTTTTAACGGTAGAGGAAAAAAATGGTACAATTTCATTGGTTAATTCGAGTCAGTCAAGAAAGTGGCTGTGGAATCAATGATAAACAAGGGCTACATAACAAATAAGTCGAATAAAGTGAATTTTCCTGGGAAATTTTTTAAGCATTCTTGCGTTAGCTGTTGTATTGTGTGGGAAATATTCCCATAAAACAACCTGTCTTACGTGATTTTTAAAGAGAAATATTTCTTTCGAAATTTGAAAGTCGGATTGAAAAACACATACGCCACAGAAAACGAAATAAGGACTTCCGTTTCAAGATAATGTTGTGAGTTATTTGTGATCAGAAATTATGCAAACGAAGCTAATTTAATTCGCGGATTTCATAAATGTGCTCATTCTAACTGTAGAGGAAAAAATAATATAATTTCAGTGGTTAATTCGAGTTAGACAAGAAAAGTGGCTGTGGAATTAATGATGAACAAGGGCTACATAACAAAGAAGTCGAATAAAGTGAGTTTTCTCAGGAAATTCTAGGCATTCTTGCGTGGGCTGTTGTATTTTAGGTACGATATTCGAAAAACACACTTGGATAATGGTTGGATTTGAAATATGTACAACAAAGCTGCTAAGATATAACGTTTGAGGTGGCTAAAAATAATAAGAGATGAAAGAAATTTTCAGTACTAAAACTATTCAGAAATAATGACATTTCTGCATGTTTTTGCAAAGCAGGTCAAGGTACATAGCACAACCCGTCATGTCTGCTCAGATGAACACTGATTTATTCATGCTGATTAGCATCTGTACTGTTTATATGGTGCGTACGTAAATTACGTTTTAACTATCTTTATGAAAATTCATATGATTGTAGTTATATCTTTGTATTATATTCATCGTGCTGTGGAAAATACGGAGTATAAAAAACTGAGTTACTGCGAGCGTCGTATAATTATATTTAACTTTCCGTAAAGCTACTGAAGAAGTAGCATAGTCAGCATAATAGGTCAGGTGCTGTTATTCGATTCGATTCGATAGTTTACGTTCTCGTCTGTGGTCGACCAACACGTAACTTATTGTGCCAAGAGATCTTGGGATTCCCTGATGTGGCATAACAAACGAGGCAGGAGGAAGAAAACGAACTTGCAATACTGTTTTCTGACAGAAACTTAAACAGTGGGTGATCTAATGCAGCGAGTATTACAAACCTCCTCCTCATATCAAAGTGCGGTTACTTTCACTTTCGAAAGAGCCATCGAAAACAAAGGTTTGATGACACTTCAGTTGTCTCCGAGGAAAAAGGGAAAATACCTCCCAAGTCGACTCGATTGTCACTAGTTGAGAACTTAATCAATCAAACTTCCAAAATAAACAATGAAGATCCGAAGATCAGATTATCTATGGACAAAAAATGAAGAAACATGCATGGCAATGAAAAAAAAATTGGATAGTCCATATCTCTAAACGAACACAAACTTAGATTTTTTTTTCAGAATATTTTCTTCTCACGTGAAATACTCGTGTCGCTTCAGATATCAAATATCCGGTTGTCATGGGTAGGTTTAAAAATATCACCTGCGTTTGCGGGTTTTGCCGCAGCCTGTTAATTTCGCCTATTTTCCGGGTTTATAGAATAAGAAATGACTGTCAGCGCAGTAATGTACGGAGGACCTTGATCTTGGATAAAACCGTGAAAAATTCCCGCCATTTTAAATTGCATTTGCTTCGCTGAATGATTAATCTGAAAAAACTGCGTCTCCTTCTTAACCAACAAAACGAGAGAGAGTTATGGTTAATTGCAAATTTCAAACTTTATCTAAGAAAATTTAGGCCATGAATCACATTACATAATGGGTGACAAAACCATAAAATACTGAGTTGTTTGTGGACTCAGAGAAAAAAAGAGGGGAAAAACTCGTACTTGTCAATGTCTGCTTTCTGATTAGCGCAAACTCTTACATTATCAGTTTCCAGTGCAAGTGGCATGTAACAGAAGCTGCAGATGGAATCAGCTGACTATTTTGCATCCCAAGGGAGCCGTATGCTTTCCTTGTCCAGAATGTCCCAAGGGTCAAGGCATGGTCCCGCAGTGTGGCTCGCGTATAACTGCTGACGTCACAGTGGAGTGTGTAAAATGTAAACTTGGCAAATCGTACTCGGATAAGCAAGATATCTCCTCGTGTAAGCCGTGTACCATCTGTGACCCTAACGAAGAAACGATCAGCCCTTGTACTGCAACGAAGAATGCGGTTTGTGGAGAATGCAATGCTGGGTATGTAAGTCATAGCTGAATTTTACCAGAAGAGCGGCATCTAGGATGAAAATCTCTCTCGTCGTTTTTCAGGTTCGAGAATAGATACTCAGTAACTGAGACGTATAGATAATAAATCATGTTCAGTTTCATTATTTGAAGAGTTTATCCCTACTCCCCACCCTTCAATCATTAGTTGTCAGCAGGAAGACAACTTTCTCAGCTTTTCCCTGATCGTCGTACGTCCCGTGTTCTTATATCGGAAACATGTATGTAAGTTTGGTCATCAAAATAGAGCGTGACCTGAGATTTTTGTTCAACTCTACCTCGTCTGTATCGACTGACTTAATCAAATCTTCCTTTACTATTTTGTGCCCGCCAGGATTATTCACAAGACAGATGTGAAGCGCATTTTTGATGGAAAACCTATCGTAAAGGCTGATTTCATGTTTCAACTTTTCATATAACAGCTTCTATAGAGCTACAACTGGAGATTGCAAACCTTGCATGAGATGTTGTGCTGATAGTAAGGACGAAGATATAGAGAAACAGTGCAAAGCACAGACCAACCTCCCAGCAAACCAAATATGTCGATACGATGTTAACACCATCAAATGCGCGCCTACAGCATACAGGACAACCGCGCCTGCTGTATTGGTATCCACGGCACCTGTAATGTCACAAGACATGATGGCTGCCCGCACTAAAGAGGGAAAGAATGGTAGCACCCTGTTGTTCATTTCGTTTGCAAGCTGTCTTGCTTTCTTTGTGTGTCTTTTACTTGCAGTGATGTTGGCTTTTTATTACAAAAAGAAAATACTGTCCTCGATTTGGTGCTCCGGACATATAGGCCGTGTGATTACAACTCGTAAGTATTCAAGGGCGAGAGAATCTCATAGATAAGCCTATAAGACTTTTTTCTGTTAAAAATGATTTCTGCACTAGCGCGGACCTCCCTCCCTTTTCTTTACAAAAATCGTGAGTTTTGAGCCTAGAAAATCATTTATTCATACTTTTATACTCATCCCTCTAAATTATGAGTATCTCCCTCGCCTGGGATCTAATTTAGTCTTATTTTAGTCAATGAACAAATAGGAAAACATAAACTTAAGCTTTTGTACGTCGTTGCCTCTAGAGTATTAGAAGAAACCGTCAATTTCGGCGGATGTTTCAGCTAACTTGTATCTTACTAGTTTACTTGTGCAACCAAGGGTAATCTCCCTAGAATTGCACGGTGTAATAAATCTGATACTGCACCTCTGATCTTGATCTCTGCATCTCTTACAGCAACACAAGCGGATTGCAATCAGCCTTTGACTACCAAGGTTGTGTTTGGGAATGAAAAAGCGTGTGTATGAACTTACGATTTCCCTTTCCCCTCAGCTTTCCTAGCCAAGTACACTTGAAGGAATGAGATAACCTCCTGCCATTATACCTTTAAGACTCTTCAATGCACCAAGTTGTGTTAATGTTCCACTCATACAGTGTAGACTGCTGATATTCTTCGTGGTCAGTTATATTGACTAAGAGGACGCTTCAAACGTTAAAAAAAATTTCAGCTCGATAAATTAAATTTCCGTTGGAAAGACTGCCTTTCACCTCCGGTGGAGACCACGTTTTGCCAAGAAGAGAGTTAGACTGGGTGACATTTAGGGCTTAAATTTAACTTGACTTCGCTCTTGGAATTCCTAGAATTCGCGGTCACAGTAAAGCGAATATACTATAAATGAGTGTCAGTTAAAGTCTGTTTTGTTTGAAATCACTTTTTTTATTGTGTGAAATATATATTACTGTTTATTTCTGTCCCATTACACTTATGGCCAATATTCACAAAATGCAGACGATATCTATTGGTAAATATGTTCCCATGGAAAAAACCCTATCATAATATATTAACGTGTTTTTGTGTGCGACGAATTGACATTAGAGCTTTCATTCACAAACGGTTATTGACGGCATAAACTAAATTGAAAAAATAACTTAATATCTTTACAATTCTGGATAACACATTCATAGATAAAGTATATAAGAATAAGTTAATAACCTGCAAAACTAGTAATTTTCATGTTTGACCCATAGAATAAATTAAGCTATCGAAACCAATTTCACTCCCTTAAAAAGTCGTACAATCATGACCTCATGAATCTTTAAAATAACTCTTATATGGTTCACTATCTTTAACCGCATAGTCTGCATTTGACTTTGGTTTCATTAAATATGACGTTAGTATGTCTCTAAGAAGTTTTGAACGGTCTTTTAACATACGTGAGTGTATTTCTGAATAATTTCACGAAAAGTATGAAGATAAATCCATTTATAAATGAATACGTCTCGGATGTACATTTTAACTCTTCAAATAGACTATTTGAGGGTTTAGTCTGGTAGACAAAAGGTACAATCATCCTGTTCTCAAGCATTTTTTTCTTGTAAACATGGATAACTAAGCCCTTACAACGAAAATGTCTTCCAAAAAGGAATTCAATAAGTTATTTGTCTACGTTTCATATTTTCATAGAGAGCCCATCTTGGACCCAACAGTTTTAATACTTTTCACTTCAGTCTTCGGTTAGGGGAGGGGGAAAGGAAGAGGTTTAGGAGGATTTTGATTGCGTCATAATAAAATTTACCTGAAAACCCCCCCCAAGGCCCTGCTTTGTTTGCTTATTTTTCCTACTCATTGGCAGTCGATTTTCTAGACGATTCCCACCATACTCTGTTGGCGACGACTGATTTCCCCTTTGTTCCCCCTAAAAACCATGTGATCCAAACCCCAGGAGATGAAAAATGACTCGCCCCACGAGGGTCCTTATAAGTCCTTACTTGCCCCACAAGGGTGCCATAAGGATTTTAAGAGTCCTTCCCCACAAGGAGCCTAATACTAGATAAACTTTTTCAATCCCATGATCTAAATACCAATTCTCCTCACTATCTGCAATCCATTTCTAATAATTTTCGTTCTTAAAATTTAATGTCAAATCAAACTATCTCTAAGTTGATGTCTTTCTTTCTTTTCATCACTCTTCTGCTATAAACGTATGTATACTGTGAGGAGAAATTTCTTTTGGGTCACTTAAGAGAGAGAAAGTTTTGAGAGGTAGAAATAATTTCGCTTCATCAACTCGGGTCAATGTAAATTGGCTACGGCAGAGAAATTCCAGAAATGACGTTTCGAGCGTTAGCCCTCCGTTAGAGCGACTGGTTTGCCAATAGCCTGTTACGAGCGTTCAAGTAGTTAAACGAAGCGTGATAGTAAGCGGGGGGAGGAGGAGCGAAAAAATGAGGGAGACTTAGCTCGACGCGACCCAGACCTCCCTCGCTTCTTTTTTATCGCGCCGCATACGGTTTCGCTTCATTTTACTAACTGAACGCCTGGAACAGGCTTGTTAGCCGAGTAAAAGCCAGCCTAGTTCCCAGGCATACGAAGAGAACCTGTGCAACAAACATTCATCTTCTGCAATTAATTAAAGCTTAACTTCTCCTCACAGTTTTAGTACGTATCCAGCCCGCAGGTAATGAGAATAGAAAAACGAATCAGCTAAAAGGGCGTATGGTCCATAAAATAATATGAAGCAGCTGAGCGGAGAGTTCCTATTCGGATCATGGGATTTAAAGATGAAACGTGAACTTCTTCGAAACATTCTTACAGTATAACATAAAACAAATCATGTACTCTTGAGTAGAACGTGAAAACCCCCTTTCCAAAAATATCCACGAAAGTACATTTATAGACTGACCTAACATATATTTTCTAATTAAGGTCGACATATTCCAAATAAATACTGCTTTTGAGATGAAATTTTAAACCATATCTTCGATAATTAAAACTCTTTCCTCTCCATGATCTTCAAGACACTTATTTACTGTGTTAACAATAATTTTCAATCTTCTGTCGATGGCTTTGAAGTGTGGATCGGAAAGTACCGGTGACACAGGATCATTCTCGGTGGCTTTCCGTAAAAGTTCACTTAGAGACATCTTCCCTCTGGCGATAGATTGAAAGCGGTTCCAAGTGGAAAGGCGAAGTCTAAAAGTGAGTTAAAAGATTACTCAGTCAACCAAGAAAAAATGAGAGGAGAGAGAAAGAGAGAGAGAGCAAAGCTCGAGTTCAGCCTTTAGGATATATCTATGCCCATAAGCTTTTTAAAGACAGACGAACGGAAATGTATTTTCTGAGACGTCCGCATTAAAGCCAAGAGAGCTCGATTTGATGTTCTGATTGACGACGATATAACAGCCGACAGCACACTTTTTTTGTTCAAAACCACCTCAACAAAAAATTAAATTTAAAAAAGGGGAATTGATATTTCTCTAGCGAAAATTCAAGGAGGTCGGAGACTGAACTCCTTTTTTCGTTTAAAACTAAATGCAACATCAGATGTAACTTACGTGATGCTTTCTTTTTATAATGTTGTAGAACTTTTAGCTTTTTAAATATCTTTTTAATGTAAGGCACCATGGACAAATAGTGGATTGAGCGCTATATAAATATTTTATTATTATTATTATTATAATTATTATTATTATTATAATTATTATTATTATTATTATTATTATAATTATTATTATTATTATTATTATTATTAGCGAAATCAGCAAATCCAAGCAAAAGCGCTGATTGGTCAATTTCTCGAGTTCACTGAGCAGATATACAGCCTGTAGGGCTCTAACAGGGAGAGATAGCAGGAGAAAGAAACTTTATGGGCCTTTGAATGAAACGGTGGTTTATTAACGAGAGAGAAAGAGGTGTTACCACGAGGCCACTTATATTTCTCACACAAATTTAGATATTAATTTCATCTAAGATGCCTCTTTTCCTTCTTACCTGCAACATTGATAGATAGGAGCCAAGATGGACATTTCATCGCGATAAGGATCGCCGAAGCTGAAAGAGGAAAAAAAAAGGATAATAAAATTCCCCTCATTTTAGATCACTTCATGTTAATGTGAAATGGTAAATTATACCACGCGAGCGGAAGAAATAAAACAAAGGTGTATTCCTGGGCTGGCATATTAAGATAACAGCTTAGGCTGGCAACCTTCAGGAATGTCTTTCGCTTTGGATAGGTTGTCACTTGTTACACACTGTTAAGAAATGAAATGGTCAGCTTACTGTGTCTGTTGATTTTGTTTTTCTAAAACAATGATGAACTTATAAAATAAACAGATCAGTGAACGCTCTATAAAGTTCTAACGACTCATCGCAAAACACATACCTCTTAGCGTTATCCAGATGCAGTGGCATTCCAGTGTCTCCCTCGTCTTTAAAGGTTTCGTAGTGATGCCTGTCTGCATTGCCTGATGAATCATAGAATCGAATCTTTCTAAGTTTTCAATATCGTAAAATATTCAATATTCAATAATTAGAACTCGAACAATTGAAGCTGGAATGGATCATTCTGGAGCAAGGGAAGTAATCACAGAAACAAAATGAGAACTCAAGGTAGATTCATAAAAATGAGGAAAACGCGAATGACCAAGCCAAAATACTTTTAGTTTTTGTATGTGATTAGTTGAAAGAATAGTGCACATTCTCTACTCCAGTTACTGATCAAAATACGCTAAATTAACGCAAACCCTCATTACTTATAGTGCCGCTATAATGCACAATAGCATTACACGGGCTCAACTCACGTGCACTTACCACACACTAAACGCACGAAACACGAACACTGCACGTCACTACACGCACCTACGCGTAACAAAAGATGCTAGACTATGTGCAAAATGCGTGTAAATTACACGAAATCAGTCAACTAGAATTCAGTAAATGCATTTGCTGTGACATAATAGTGTGTAAAAAGAGAAAAAGATCTTGCTCTTATTTTGTTGTAAGATTTCTGATGAGCATGAGCGGCACCAAATGCCCACCATTTCCCTCACAGACAATACCAAATGAATACTGTCAGCCAAGAGGTACCTACCGATTAGGAAGTCAAACAGTGCTGTGTCCAAGAGATCTAACAAGCGAGGACCAAAATTATATGGAGGCTTGTTCAATACCTTGTTCTTACAGTAGTTATTGTCAGTCTCCCATCTGTGTAAAGATAACCATCGGTAGGGGTTCAATCCTTTCTCTGTTCAATATGTGTTGAATTCTCGATAGAGAATTGTAAACAACTTTGCCACTAACATGCACTACACTGGTATGTCATTTTTTTTTATGTATAGATATACAGATGCAAGAAACCAAAATGACAAGTTTTGCTACTTTTTTTCTTCTTTCAAAGATTTAGATATTTCTATCTCTTCCAATTTCCTGACACCTTTGTCCCCATGAGCTCACCCTCAAGGATCTAACTCCATACCAAAAAGACAAGTTTTTTCCCCAATGGTTTGTTTTTCTGAAAATAGTTAGATGTCTTTATTTCTTTCTATTTCCCAACACTTTTCTCCTCATGACTTCAACAGTCAGTCCTTTGCATACTATAAATCCTTTAAGCCCAAAGAGTGACAACCGTCTAATATTTCTTCACAAAATCACCCCTGAATCATACATTAAGGTCAAGAGAATCAAAGAAATGATCATCAACTAAAGAAGCCTCAGATTGTTAAAAAAATTCTCCTTATAAGCAAGGAAATATATAGAGAACAGTATGGAGAATATGCATACTGATGTTAGGGAGTATACACAAGATGCATCATACAATTCACTCACAGAGCCTTTCTGGCACCACTGTATGCTCTTATCCAAGGATGTGCCCACTTTCCAAGATTCCATCCTTTTGGTAGCCACAGTGTTACTGAGCCTTCCATAATTGTACCATTGGCACAGGCAGCATTCTTTTTGTTACAGTAGTAGCATCGGCCATAGAAGCAAGTATTTCCATCTGAAAGAAAAACAACAATCACCACATCATTTTGATTCATTTAACCCTTCAACCACTACGAGCGACTGGCTTCTAATTTCTCCAAATTTAAAGGTCATAAGAATAACGAAAATGATCACAAATTTATGATGTTCTTGATTTTCATACAAATTCTCCTTTTCAGTACCAAACAAAGGTATAAAGAACACTATGGAGAATGTGGATACTGATGTTAGGGTGTGAAAGGTTACATTAAGTAAGATTTACAGCTGTAGATTGCTAAGTCTTCTGTGATTAACTGATTCATATTTATGGATCATTACGAGAGAACATTTTTTTCTGAAATTGTCTTTACAATAATTACTATACTAACAATGCTTATGTTACTTATTATACAAACCCTATTTCTATTTATATCTATCAATACTCAAGTTTAAGAATACTTATGGAGGGATTTTTCTCTTAAACTAGCTTATAACACAAATTATATGAAGCTTACTAGCATTACAAATTTTAAATCAATAATTAGCTTATTCTACATATTAAGCAGTATTTACACTTGGCAAGGAAATTACAATTTATGAGAGGTAGACTAGAGCTTATCAAAGACACAATGCAGATACTTCAGTTATATACATTTTTGAGCTTGAGTTTGTTAACAAAAAAAGAAAAGGAAACATGACATGTTTAGAAAATTCCCCTCTCAGTTTCTTTAAATAGTTAAAAGCTGCCTTACCTTTCTTAAAGAATGTGTCCAGAAGCCTCTTGTCTCCAATTGGTTCTATTTCATCTTCTAAGTTTATTTTTCTTCCAACAACTGGTGGTGCCCGGTAGAAACCTAAAATTCTTCAAAAATAAATTGATAGTAAGAAAAATTGATTTTACGATTGTGTAATCAGAATTTAATCCCTAAATAATCAAGAAAATAAAAAGCTACCAAAACTCAATTTCCACTAGATTCAAAACTAAACTAAACATCTTTTATTGTTTAATAATTATTATGATAATAATAACAATGGTAACAACATAATTATAATTCATAATTATTACTAATGAAATATTTTTTACTATGATATTTAAATTGTTACTATCATAATTTTCATCATTTGTTTATCACTATCATTAGTTGTTTCTCACTTTTATTTACATAATTTGCCATGAAAAAGTATATTTAGTCATGAGTTTCTGTGTTTGTGTCCAAGATGGATGGCATGAGATAAACATCTCCATACAAAGTGTGTTTAATGTGATGGGGTTTTAGTGGATTATGAGCCAAGATCTGGTTGTCTAGCAACAACTGAATTCAGGAAGTGTATTAATAGGGCTCTCTTATCATAGCATTCTACGACATTTTTATGATTTACCTATCCAAATGAAATGCAGCAATCTCTCCATTGTGTCTATCAAAACCAGCATATGGAGTTCCTCTACTATAAAATCTCTGGGGTATCTGAAGAAAACAAATTATAAATCAATCTGACTTTGCTTTATTTTGCCTAGGCCTATTTTAGATGACACTCTCAATATCTAACATAATATTTAACCTAAGTACATACACGTCTTCATTAACACTTCAGTTGAGAAGCTTTTAACCCTAATGCAAATTAATTTTTCTTCTGATGTTTAGTAGTGTGAGTGTGGTTCCAATCAATGCAAATGACTGATGCACTGGCATCACATTGGTTGGATTACATTGACTACTGTCCTCTTTGAATTAAAACGAACAGCAACAAAAAAATACTACTAAAAATATTACTTAAATAATAAGAAATTAATTTGTAGGTGAGGTGTGACGCTACAAAAGTTCATCCTTGATTTTTGAAATTTGGTGCATGAGAGAAATGTGGGATGGTTACCCCATCTTCGGGATAGCTTCAGGCCTGATCTAGCCTTGTTTTAGATCAAGCTGGAGAGACACACGTGATCAAAGCCAAACAAATTTTTCAGTCTGATGCTCAAATGTTCTTCATTCTTCATTGATCACGTATATGAAAAGACCCACTAGCCTTCTAACTCTATTCAGTTCTATTTTAACATACTTTGTATACATAACATTGGCCCCATAGAGCATTTCAAAGTAAGAAAAATAAAGATGTTGATATTGTATTAACATTACCACTCAAGTGAGCCACTTCACAACAAGAATCTATCATTTGAGAGCCATTTTGACCCTATAAAGGGTTTTAATAGTTATTATTATTATTATTATTATTATTATTATTATTATTATTATTATTATTCAGTGCATGATAGCTTCTCATTCTTACCGCATTGGCTTAAATACTACTCTCTGTTTTCCCTCAAGAGTTAAGGTGGCTTTTAACTGCGTCCCTCTAACGCCAACGTTGGCCGCCACAATCGGTTTATACATCATGCCCTCTAGTATCATATTCACTCCATCTACATCGTCTGGAGACGTTATTTGTCGTGACTTTAGCATGTTTTCCCATATAGACCAGGGATCATCAAATTCGTAGTCTATATCGTTATTTTTTCCAATATTTTTCTCTACTTTCTTTTCACCGTCCTTGTCCTCATGATTCGTAACCGTAGGTGCAGATCTTTTTTCTAGCGACCGATCCACATCTTTTCGGTTCGTTTTGAGATGATTTGTTCCTTCCTCTGATCGTTGTATATTGACATGAGAATGATCAATTCCGTTATAATCCGTTTCATCCGCAAGAAATCGTGAATTCTGACTACTAACAGAAAGCAACAATGGATGCTTTTCGTCCGCCGCGCGCATTCGTAACCAAATGAATGGAATAACGAGAAGAACAATACAAATACAAAACGCAAAACGCTCTTTGAACTTCATAGTTCCAAAATATACACGGTAAAAGACGGATAACGGCCAAAGGTTCAACATTTTTAAGAGCCACCAACCATCGTGTCGATGGTTCTTTTCATATTGGAACGATTTCTACCAGGCGTATGGCATTAGTAATTGATGAAAGTAAACGAGCCCGCATTGTACAGTAACTTTTCACTCTTCGGAGATATTGAAAGATTACTCGTGACATATCATTCATAAAGATACATATTTAAAGTAATCTGGTTGAAGAAATGCAATTTTATATTCATATCGGCTCTCTTGAAGGGAAATATTCACAAATTTGTACCTAAATTGATTAGCAAAATGGTATACTTTATTTTCCTCGTTCCCAGATCACTCCCTTAATCTAAGCTCAGCGGATTTCCCTCGAAGACTAAGTTACAGAAACTCTTGTCGTATTTAAAGCAAAATGGCGGACAAAGTGAAGAGTATTGATGAATGCATTTTAACTGCAAACAACTTAAGAACAACCGTGAGAAAAGTATTTCAAGATCTTGCAGCTTCTCCTGGAGTGAAAAGAGAAAAAGCAGAATCCTCAGAGTCTAGCAAAGGTGAAAATGTCACCCGACTTTTAAAGAAGAATCTCACCGAAGTTCACAAGGTTTTAAGGTACGCTATAGTTAAGACCGATTTATCCCCATAATTTGCAACTGCTGCTGAAATAATTATTTCATACTCTACAAGGTCGCTTAAAAATGTTTTTCGAACACAAAGTTGAAAAGAAAACAGATATAAGTACTGGGCAGCTTTTGCATTTCCGTAATGTGTAAAACTTAACACCAATGTCAAACGTCAGACGTGCACGAAGGGATCCATTCTAGCCGGCTGAGCGCAAATTTCCTGCGCAAAATTTGTAAAGAAAACGTAAAAAAACATAAAGAAGTACCCGCTTTCTACGCAAACTAAGCGAAAGAAAATTAAAACTTCCATTGAAATTTGGGAGCAATTACGTGACAGGACCTGAACAATCGATGAGATCGATGATTGGTGAAAATCGATATCAATGAATCGATTGATATCGATAATCGATAAACAACCGAACTTGAAAGTTTCTGTGATTTTCGATTCTCATAGATTATCGATTATAGTCGATTTTCATCACCAACAGAAAAGAAATACTATGAAAACCAAATTTCAAGTGAACTTCAATCACGTGTACTTGAAGTCTACTCAGATTTATAACAGGAAATGGCATTCTCACACAACAGCACACATCTTGCCACCTAGTGATCACTCTCCTGATGCAGAAGGTGAAAGCAGTTAAGATATTTTGTGGAGAGAAATGTTCTTTCCAATTGCTAATCTGATAGTTGACAAACACAAATCACTTTCATGTCATTATCGATTGTTCATCGATTGTATGATACCAATTGATAACAATTAACTGATATGCATCTATGGAAACTGATTGATTCATTAGATTTCCAATCATTGATTTTCAATGAATCTTATCCTGATTTTAAAATTTAGAATATAAGTTAACTTCTTTGCTTAAAACAAGGGCCCAAAATGACAATGATTTTTAAAACAAGTAATTTTGGCATTTTTCTCTTATTTCAAGTACCTCCTAAGATTATGAAATATTCTTCCTTATATAGCTTTTTTTCCCTCAAATCAAGAAATGCAAAAACAGTAAGCTTAAGGACCAGTAACAAGGGAATTTAAGGCTGGTGTCTACTGGCCACAGAGTGAGAGTCAGAGTTGTAGTCAGAGTCATCAGAGTTGTAAGAGTGCTTCCAGCTAGTGAAAATTGAAAGTCAAAGTCATAAGCATAGTTATAAGTTAGGCAGATTTGTAGTATCAAGAATCAGATTGGTTTCATGTTCTTTGGATTAGACTACTTATGACTCTGATGTTTATGATCAGTAAAAACTTGATTGTCGGAGATAGAAGCAGACTAGGAAGAATCACCCAATCACAATAACAGTTCTCAGGCCCTTCCAGCACAGTCTTCCACTTACCACTCAGACAATTTACTGTAGTTTTTGCTGAATCATAAGCAACAGAGTAGTAAGTATTTTTCTTTTGATTCTGTTGATTTGATTTTCACTTGGTTGCATCTTATGATTTAGACTCAGACTCAGGCTCGGTCACCAATAAAAATCAACCTAAAAGAATAAGGAAGCTGCTTGTTATATGTAGAAATTTAGCTTTCAGTGTGAATCTCAAGAATGTATATATTACATGTATTTGACAGGTCTCCTCCATCTTAAGTTTAAATTACAAAGTTACAGAGTTAATTTTGTTAACTAAAGTAACAAAGAATGCTCAAGTGTTTTGATTTGCCATGTTTCAATTTGCCAGTGAGTTGGATAAAACATGCGAGGGTCTACCAACATCATCAAGTGGCTCTCTTTCTTTGGGAAATACAGGATTATTAAGCTTGGATCCTATTGAAGACAAGACTGCACTGTATGACAAGGTTCTAGACACATATGACTGGCATGAGAAGGTATTAATGATAATTCAGTTTTAGTGACTGACGCATACAGGCTTTAACTTCATATTATTGCAGTACAAGACCAGAGAAATGAAAATTATCCCTCAAATAAAGAGATACATTAAGTTAAGTTGTTCAGTTTATATTGTCTCAGTATCAAATGGTCTTTAAGTTATTGATTGAGCCAAGTCAAGATCAAATAGAGCTCATTCAATGTCACATCAACCTTTCAATCAGTGAATGTTTCTGCACTAAAATTGGGAGTGAAAATTTACATTGTGCAGGTGCATATGATTATACAATCTCTTACAGCACTATAAGAAATAACATCTTTTGTTGTTTTATTTTAATTTTTATGTTAGCTGACCTCAGAGGCTCAACAGGCATTATCATGTTTGAAAAGACATCATCCCTTACATGGTTCAGATCGTTCTTCACCATCTCCAAAGAAGGCAAAGACAAACTCAAGAGAGTTCCTACGAGGGTAAATGTTTCTGAGATGGTTTCACTTTTCACATCAATTTCCAAGAGCCTAAATACAACATGATGGCAATATAAGTGACAGAAGGTGTCATTTGTGTCAAGATTTGGGGCTGCACAGTATTATTATGATGCATTGCATTTATTTTTTTCATTGGCCAAGAGCTCACCTGTGACTGGTGAATAAACTCCTTCAAATTATGGTCCTCTCATGGGTAACACCTGCTATCCCAGTTAGATCTGGAGCAGTTTTTTTCCTGGAAAAAGGCAGATTACTTTCCCAAGCTGTCTGAGATTCTGGAAAATAAATATGACATACAATCTTGGCAAATTACAAAATAGAGTGACTTGCCTGTGTCTTATAGATCAATTAGGTTCTGGGGTATGAGTGACCCTTTCACCAAAGACATGTAATGATGGTTTGCTCAGCCTCACTTCATAATTGCTAAATATTGAAATTTTGGTTAGTGCAAGCTGCTGATATTGTGGAACTAATTAACACCAGTTGTCTTTGCTAGACTGTGGTTGATGGCATTTTGCATTCACATTTCAAACTAAACTCTAAAAAAATTGAAAAGTTCTCAAGACAACCTTCATTTCATTTTTTTAATCTTGAAATGCAACTTGCACAATGTTTCAAGTAATTTCCAGGGGTAGTTTTTTGCAAAAATGTAGCTTTTGCTATGTTGGATTTGGCCTGTTGGATTGACAAGATATTGTCAGTCTGTTATTTCATTTAGTGTGATGGACTACCATGTTATAATGGACAAAGTCATATTTGTGGGCAGGTGAACAACTTTGCAACATGTGTGATCTTGATTATGACTTGTTGATTACTCACAATGTTGCAGGGAAATTCAAAAAGCTTTGAGTGAAAGCAAGTCTTTGTATCCTTGCTTAGAGCTGTCAACATCAATGGCGCATGGAGCTCCTGTTGTTGAGGTATGACGAGTTTTGTGTCCAGCCTATGCTAAAACAGTCTCTATGAAGTGTTGAAGTCAATTTGATAAGAGTACAAATTAAAACCTACATATAAGTATTCTTGAATGTGATTGGTTATTAGCAGTGCAAGTCTTGTTATTTATATTTTTTCACTCAAATTGCATTTGAAATGTTTGTGTTACTTGATTGAAATACAACTTAAGCACAGGAATAAGTAGAACTTTTTCTACCTGCCTTTACATAAATGTGGTACTGAGTGAAACTCAAGGAGATCTTTAATAATGTTTACTAGGTTGTTGTACCAAAGACATTGAAAGCAACAATGATTCTTCGCAATATGTCAGAAATTGACCAAGTCGTAATAAGAGGAATACAGGAGAGCAAGCTCCTGGATAAGGAGGTAAATAGCTGATCAACCTTTAAAAGTATTTCTTTTACTCACAGTTCGGTGGAATTTACTTACTTGAAAAAAGGTTGGTCCATTGTTTAACATGGTAGACAGTTAAACCCCCCCCCCTTTCCAGAAGACTGGAAGGCCAGCCCTCTCAAATATCCCCTGAATCAAATTTGAACACAGCCAATGTCACATTGAATAATAGAAAATATCCGAAGCACAAATAAGTGTTATTGGAATTCTCTACACACATGTATTTTCCAGTTGAAGTTAGCTTGTGGTAGCCTCCCAGTTAGTGGTTGGTGGCAAACGAGTATTACAGGCTCACTTCCTTTTTTTTCCTTCCTTGCCTAAACTCTGTCATTTTTTCACGTGCCTGCTTTTTCATTTGCTTCCACTGACCAAGAGACTGGCATAGGCTATTGGGAGTCATGTACATGTATAGAGGAAGTCATGTGAACCAAAGACTAAGACCTATATCTACCGGTGTAATACACAGTGTTTACGTCTGAGCATTTACATTTAAATTCATATTTATCCAATTTTATATTACAATTTTTATCGTGCAACATGTAATGCAGCCCTCATTTTTACAAAAAAAAAACAGCTTAGAGTCGATCATTAGCAAATTAGCTAGTATGAAACTCACCAAATCCACGATGGTGAATTTCAACATCCAGGAATTAGAAACCACAAAATGGTAATACTTGAAATATTTCTTTGCTTCAATTTACGTTTTTTTTTTCAATGAATACATTTTTCTCGTAGGAATCATGGTCGCAGTCAGCTCATGCTGTCTTCAGAAAGGTGATTATCTCTATGTATCGTGCATAGAATTTAATTGTGTTTAAAAGCTTATTAAGTGACATTGCTTTTTACTATAAAATTTGTGCACAAAAGTGAATAATCACGGTCCTCTCTGTTATAATCCTAAGTACTAAGAAATGACAATCATACAGAATTATACAAAATCATCTTGTTGTTTGCCAGAACAAGCAAAGCTGCATCAAGGGGAAGGTGTACGTTAGACCGAGGCCATTTTCTCCCCTGATGCAGTCCACGGGTGGGAAAGGGTGGGTAAATGACAGAAGAGAGAAACGAATTAAAAGTGATATTACGGAATAAGAAATGAGCGCACATGATCTGGGAAGAAATCATCTACATATGTAACTAGCGGATGCTTTGTGTGATACCGCCAATGGGCGATATCTGATGGCTCACATGCAATTGTTATCCATCAGATAACAGATTATGCAACATCAGTTGTATTACACCATTACTCCCCAAGTGATCCTACATCTCAAGTGAGAGGCTTACTGGTAAGTTAAGTATAATTTTTTGTCTGGCATTAGTTCTAATGGTAGGGTAGTTTTAAAATTTAAGGAGATTATTTTCAGATATCTATGGTGAAAACATCGCAGCTTGAACTCAATGGATGCAATTTTTTACGCCTGAGTTGACGAAAATGTAAGTGTGATTGTTCTTTGAAGAGTATTGTGGTGAAACCAAAACCAAATTGATATCAAGTGCCAGTAAAAGGCGACGAAAATATGATCAGGAGCCATTCGCAAATGTAGAGCTGGAAGTGAAATAAGGAAACTTCCTGAAGCGCACACTCCTAAGATTGATCTATCGGTACAAAAACGAAACTTGCGTGATCGTTTTTGATTTTGTCCTTCAGAAATGGCTGAACAGCTTTCAAGCTCTTTTCTCCATTAAGTGTGTCGGCTGTGGCTTTCACTTAAAGGAGGAGACAGAAAATGTCTTCCTTCCCCCTTGCTGGCGAACATTCGAAGATCTATCACCCTACCATTACCAATGCAGACCTTAGTCACTGTGCCGCTTTGCTAGCATTTGTGCAAGTTTTTGTGCTGGGAAAAATGGCAGACATTTCTGAGGAGTGATACCGTTTGTGTAAGGTTCAGTCAAAACTGGCAAACAATTGTCAGAACGATAGCGCGTGGTTGGTACAAGTGGGACAAGATTGGCGCACGATTTGTGCGAGGTTTGCAGTATGCAATAAGAGAGTTAAACTTCGACCTACCCTCCCCAGAAACCTCTTAGTTATTGTCTTGTTGACCCAGGATCTCAGTTTGGAATCCTATAAAGTGTTTATTTTGTGAAAAGGTGGAGAAGAGTCGAAGTTAAATGTAGTATGTTTGGTAGGAATTTGTACAATTCCAAATCTAAAGCAGGTGAATGACTAATTTCAAACATGCAAGAAATTGACTGTGGTCGAAAGATGTATTACTGCTATTGTTTGTGCACTGAAACGAAGAATTTTGTTGGCAAAAACAGCGTCGACCAAAGTCTTGAACATTGTGCTGTAAGGTGCCTTTGTGGTAGTGCGATATTTTAGCTGCCATCCTCGGAAAAATGTACATGCAGCATCAACTGCCTTTAATTAAGTCTTTGGAAAACGCTTATATTGTGGAGATAACATCATAGTTCAACTCGAGGCGCTATTTCCATGGTTTCTTAGTTGAATCACAGCAGTAAATAGGTACGGTAGTGATAGTGCCCTTATAATGCAAGAAAAAAAATTACAGACAGGCTGCAAACAAGGAAACAGTGGTGTAATCAAAGAAAAAACTCAAAACAGGGGTTATTAGAACTGTAGATAGATAATTTAGACGATATCACACAGTGCTCAGTTTTTCTAGTGTCTTTTGAAAAGAACTGACAGCTTGGTGAAAAATGACTCTAAAGGGACGTAGAATTGTAGGGTACATATGTTTATAGATATTCCTTTCGTTGAAAGTATAACAGCTGACAAAACTATGAGATAAAATACAGTAAGGAAATTTATTTTTGTTTAATTTTTCTCTTAGTTGAACTAATTTTTAGCGCTCAATAAAAACTCTAAGTAATTCTTAAGCAACAGTTGAAAAAAAAAAAATCACAAACTTAACATGTATTTGAATATTTACAATATTTTAATTGTTTTAAGTAACTATTAAAATTGTTGTTGTGTAAGGATGCAGTATGTTATAATACAGTGCCTTGTTTCTTAGCGGTGGAATTACCAATTCATGCAATTGGACAAAGGAGCTCAAAAAATGAGAAAAATCAGGGCTTTGTAGTCGCTACTCTATGGTGATTACCTTGAGGAGAAGCCAAGAATTCAGGGCCTGGTCGAAAAATTCGGGTCCTTTCAACACCCAAAGGAGAATATCAAGTTAAGAGACTGAATTCAACGTAAGAGGTCATCTTAGACTCAAAATATTTCGTCTCGCGTGTCAGAGCACGAACAGACGTCGCACGTGATATCCATGTGAGCAAATTGCGACTCCTGATGGCTATTTCTAGATCCTGCTGAAATCTTGGAGAAAACTTGCGTGATCTAGCAATAGCTTGAAGAGGTATTACTGAAGGAGCGTCATGCTCTCCTGTTTCGCAGTTGCCTAAATTGGTATTTCCACTATGCGAAAAGGGTGATAACTTTTATGTTCACGTGTTTTGTTTACTACGACAAAACCTAGCAGGGACGATTGTAGTGCAGAGCACATGGTCATCAAAATTGGAACATTAATAAGATGGTGAAAATTGCAGTTAATATCACATCTCAAACAAGCTTCAACGATTTAATGATGTAATATAGTGATGTTTACATGTATATACAAGAAAATTCGACAATATATTTTGCTTTTTTTCAGTTTTTGATTAAAACACTAGTACTTATAGTCATTTTTTGGAGTTCTTTTGAAATTGTATATTCCCAAGTTAAATCTATGTACTTGAATTTATGGCATGAATCTACAAAGTTTTAAATGAACAAACATATTTACATCTATCTAACTCCAGACAGAACTGTTTCGGTCATCAGGGCCTCTTAGTGCAGTGCTGATGCTTGGATGGAGGTAAAGCTATAAAGCCACCCCAAATAATCCCACACTTTTGTATCATCTAAGCCATGCCAGTATATAGGTATATATTGTAAATTTTAAATAATAATTTTCTAACCACAAATATTTAGGACCCTAAATTTATCGAAATGGACTGTAAACAAACCGTGGCCAAATTCAGCGGAAAATAATTCTAGTGATGAACGATTTCAAACTGCATTTATTTGTTTACATGTATGGCTTTCAATCCTTTTTTGGAAAGGAAACATAACTCGAACACTTATGGTCTTTTTAAATTCAATTTCTTTTCTATTTTGTCATGTTTATAAAACGAGTTCGCCTGGTTTTATTACTTTCTTAGAGGAATGTATACTATTCTTACCAGACCTTAATCTTTTTTGTTGTCTTTTATCACTTTAGTTGACTATATTTAATCAGTCGAAAGCAGAACGTCGTCACTGCCTATTTGCAGTGCAGTGACGAGAATAATGAAAATTATTATAAAAGTTCTAATGATAATAAATGACATAAATCTACCACCGTTCTATGAAAGATGCTGCAATCCTATTGGCTACGCTACTTACTATCTAGATATCGAGTGAAAAGTGTGGCACCTATGATAAGCTATTATTCAAGTAGACATGAATCTGCCCTGTTGATAAGATTTAAGAAACTTTGCTTTTTCGAAAGCAACTAGATCAATCGCTGTCTATTGCTGTGAATGATAGGAATTTCGAACCAATAAATTCTTAACTATAAAAATAATAATAGTGATAATAATATTAATAATAATTATAATGATGATGATAGTATAGATAAAAACAATTCATATTTCACTCGTTTTAAATGCTAAGTAATAAAACGTATGAATTTTATTGTTCTGAAAAATGTTGGCTTATTGTTGAAAATTTATCAGATATTAATAAAAAAATTTTTATGAAAAATGGCAAAAAGTTGCCGTTACTGGTGAGAAGTATCGGTCATCGCGCTCATCATGTTATTGGTTGAAATATCCAAAAAGGCTTTCCCACCGAAACAACTGGCCTCGAGTGGTTTATATATGGGTTTTAAGTTACGGGGAAAAAAACAACAACAACAACAAAAACAAGGGCAACAAATAAGCAATTTCATGGTAGTATGAACTACTGAAACTATGAGACTCTCATAGGGTAAAAACATTGCAATGACACGTCGACGTCCTTACACGCAAAAATAACGTACATTCTAACTATTCTAGTATAATTCGACAGACGGTTGATATGGTGTATAGAATATCGATTAAAGGAGTTTCTCAGTGTAATTAAATCAGGCTCTAACTGGAATCACCGGCGAGTTTAGCTAAGGTCAGCCACCCCATTGGTCGTGCAAAAGTGGTGTATAATAATTACTCAGTGCTTCAAAACAATTATAATCTTTATAGCGCAGGCTCACTTTGAACCCATAGGCTGTAGTTCTCTCGGCTTCCGCTACTTTTTCTCTCTGCGGTAGAGCTCGGAAAATGCTTCCGTAAATTACTGAAGACTTTCAAGAAATATGTGATCGGTAAAATGCTGGATAAAAGTTCTAAAGGGAATGTACAAAATCGAATCCGCACTGTTGATGCCGCATCAAGTACGACTTAATTAGTTGGCTTCACACAAACCTTTTCGTGGAGTGTTCATGCACTACAACAGAATCCTGTTTCAGTGTAACGAGGACCATAGAAGACTCTATCGAATGTCAAAAGGGGTCCTACGTGAAAGCACTTTCAAACGAATGCTTGCATGGCAGTTTGCAAAGTTATCCATCTTGCATTTGTACTACATTTCTTTAGATAACTTTCGCATGCGCTTTTCCTGCAGAGGACTACTCTATCGATTTCAAGTCCTTTCAACAATTACTGAATTGTAAGAACTAATAGGGCATTCCACACATCAGTGATTGTCAAGGAAAATTTGTCGAATGTTATGGAATATGTTTTCTTCTTACTCTGTTTTCTCTCGCTGCATAGTTTCACAGAAACTACTCACCTTTTCTTCATGAAACGATTGAATTTTATGGATATTTCTTAGCTACCTCTACCCTTTTTTCCTTGCCCTCACTCAAAGCTCCGACATTTTCAGAGATCTGTCGTGTCTACAATAACTTTCAGGAACATAACATCGTCTCTCACATAGGCGTGGTTATTTAACTCCGATAGAGAACAAAACATGGGGCACCCACTCGCAATGTTTGATTCCCTTCGTGGCCTTTGGAAAGATGAACTGTTTGGATCGGGTCTGAAAGCATCAACCACGTGCTCTACGTTATCTTGATCCAACAGCATGAAGGTCACCTTCTGTCTAAATGGCCAGCGGAGCAATGCATCGTAGTCTCCACGCATGACAATGAAGAACAGCGACAGATGGGTTCCTTTACCCATTCCATCACCGTTTAAGTAAAGTCGCGCGCACATTTTGTAACCATGCTGACTGGTATGAAAGCACGGGCTATATATTGAGACCTCTCGCCCAGTTATGGCATCATTTTTCTTACGTGCAAAATCCGATATTTTCCAGAGTAAGATTCCATTATATGTAAAAACTTGCTGCTGTTGAACATGTTCTTCGATATCAGACAAAACAACATTTCTGAGCGCCAAATTATGTTCTACAGACTCCATTCTTCGTTCGAGTCGTCTAATACTGTCCACCGCGCCATCCAATTGGCGTTTAACAGACGATACTTCTTGTCTGACTTCGTTCAACTCACGCCTTGTTTCGTTTACCAAGAACTCGATATTATTGGTGCCATTTTCGGCATTTGTGAGACGTCGTGAAATCTCGTCCGAAATGGGGAGTGGTTGTAACGAAGAGAAAGTTGCCGATTGTGGGAACTGGTCTCTATGGGTTGAAACTCTTTTTTCCATCGACACAAGTCTCATAGAATTATCTTCTAGTTTCCGTCGTAAGTCGGTTTGCTCGCGTACCACTGTGTCGATGCTTGATATGGCGTTAGCGATGGTCATCTCCGATCGTCTCATCCACTGATCGGAGGTGCCACCACCCCATGCACCACCCATAGAGAGCTGACTTTTCACTTGCTCTTCTAACCGAAGAACACTCGTCAAGAGTAGATTTAAGTGCAAAATTGCACTCAGCTCATGATGTTTCTTGACCTCGGATTGCTTCATTTTCTGTTAGTACAGGGGTTTAAGAAAATCATCCCTGATTATTGGTAGTTGGTTTGTGTAAACGAAATTTCTATTTGACAAATCGTCTTTGCCTTTTTTGATGCTTTTATTGCAACTTTCGTAGATTTAGTGTCCCCGGTTGAATATATTTTACAGCCGTTTTTGAAGACGTTAGGCATCTCAATAAAACGGCTTTGAAGGGGACTTCAGTTGATACACTAGTGTTTCGGATAGTGAAATATTGGGAAACTTTATTATCACTTCGGCAGGTGGCCCATACGAAGGATAAATTTTATTTCAATAGTTCTTAAAAGGCAACTAGGTAAAATCTTCAGATGATACGAACCTTGTTGTTGCTGCAACCAATCTGTTGAAATGCACAGGTCCTCTCGACTGCCTCACAGTCACCATGAATGGGATTAACATGGCTATCCATCTGTGAGGATTGAAGGGACGGTAAAAATCTTAGTTATAAGCCCAGGTCGACAACTCAGAAGGGTTTCTTTAAATTTCCGTGTCTTAGAAGAGCAGTGTAATATTTGGTTTATTGTTTTTTTTAAAGGAAAGGTGGACACTTAAGTTGTACGATCTAATTCTGCAGATTTTGGTGCACTACAAAAATGAAATAGATCAACAGCAAAAATGACATACTGATGCAAATGTAGCGCTTCACACGAATACGGTAAAACTTCTCCCTTAGCTTTGAGATAAATCTCTTAAAGTAATACTCGGATTTAGTTCAACTGTTTTGGCTGTCCACCAGAAGAAATGTGTACGCAGTTGGATGACGTTTTAAACATGGCTACCTCTCCTCGCGGAATTCCTTCTTTGCCACATCTACAACATTGAATGGGATACATTTTGCAATCCTGTATTTGATGAGTCTAAAAGTTTGGAATCGAGACAAAAACAGAAGTGAATAACAAACAAGAACGAGGATCGGAACAATTTTTGTTAACATCTGTTTAGTTTTTGATGAGAATCCATTTGCTTTGAGGATGATTCAATAAAGGTACGTATGAATGCAAGTGTTCGCGGAAAACTGGTAATAAAGAAAGAGGCGCACTCGACATGTTAAAAGGAGTTGGCCATTTCTTGTCACTTATTACAAATGGTTTAGAGTTAATTTTAATCATACGCATATATGAAAAAAACGGCTTTATGTTGTTGTCCCTGTAACAAATTAAACTAAACTGGCCGTATGATTTAAAAAAAGCCTGAATGAGAAGAGTAATTGCGGTAAAAGTAACTTTAGAGGGTGATCAAACTGACCTCAAGAACAGCAACAGTCATAGAATCACCGCACAACGGACACTGTTGGGTGCGATACGGACACTCATGTTCCTGATGTCGCTGAAGATCGGATCTTTTCACACGTTTTTGACAGTTACAGTTAGAGCAGTTTACTCTTTCCTCAGGGCAGGTAGATCGGTGTTTCTACACAAGAAGGAAAAGAAAATTATAGTGCCGCTCTTTGTGTACTGTTTGAC